TCTGCTTTGTCTTTTTTCGATCTCTAGTGGATGACCTCACACTTCCCTACACTGAACTCCATCAGCCACAGCTTTGTCCACTCACTTAATCTGTCTAAATCTCTTTGTAACTTCCTACTCCCATCCACACAATTTACTGAGTCTCCTAGCTTAGTGTCGTCTGCAAACTTGGATATAAAACTTTCTATTCCTTCATCCAAGTCATATATATATATATATATATATATATATATATATGTATGGTGAAAAGCTGAGGTCCCAGTACAGATCCCTGGTAGATTCCACTTATCACGTCCCGACAGTTAGAGAACATTCCATTTATCCCTACTCACTGTTTCCTGCCTCCCAACCAATTACCAAGCCACGTCACAAGGTTACCTCCGACTCCATGCGCTTCCATTTTCGCTAATAATCTTTTGTATGGAACCTTATCAAATGCCTTCTGAAAGTTCATATAAACAACATCCACAGACACTCTCTTATCGACTATTTTAGTGACCTCCTCAACTTCTGAGAAACTCCACTAATTTCCTGTTTTGTCTCTGAGGCTTAGTTCAGCAAGAGGCTGCTTCCATTGATGTGCATTATGTGACTGTGATGTTAGTACTTCTTTATCAGAAAGTAACTTTTACAGATGATAAGGAAGATCTTTGAATTGTAATCCTTGCATTTGATATAGCACCTTTCACGTGGCGAGGAAATATCAAAGGGCTTCGCAGGATTGACTGTAAAGTCTAACAACTGTGTATTTTGTAGATGAACACGATAGCCAATATGCACACAGTAATGTCCCACAAATAACTATTAATGAGTGAGCACTTCATAGTTATTTGTGGGATTATTTGTCAGAATACCAGGAGAAACTCCCTTCTCTCATCAAGTAGTGTCATGGCATCTTTAACATCTACATGAACATATGGGACCTCGGTTTAATATCTCATCGGACAACACTTGCAGAAATGAAGCACATCCCCAGCACTGAATTGGAGTGTTGGCTAAATTGGGAAAGTCTACACTGAAAAGAATGTACAGTACATCTTTGCAAGTGTCTCCCCACCCCTCACAACAGAGCTAAGATTTACAAGCCACTAAATCAGGCCACTGGCCCTTCAAAGGGATTTACTGGTGACCTCCCCACACTTTCTTTCCTTCCTTCAACTATCTAATGATTTCTAGGAATAACACAGAAAAAAAACTCATTCCAAATGAGAGCACAATAAGAAAATAAATTGTTTACAACATATAATTTGCAAATTGAAGGTGGGATTTTTTGGAGTCAACTTGCTTAAGAGTATCCCGATCATAATGAGAGTTCCATCTATGTTTATCACATGGAAATTTCACCGTGTCTGGAGGGAGGAATGTGGTTTTGAATTGAGTGTGACAAACCGCTCGGCTGCAGTTCAATGCTGTCACAGCGAGCCAAAATGAGTTGCCCATTCAAAGAATAGCACGGCCAAAATGAGTCCTCCCACAGGAGTCCTCCCAGATGAGTATAGATAAAGATGAAATGTCTGTCTGTGTATCTGTCTGTGTATCTGTGTGTCAGTCTGTATGTCAATCTACATTCTATAGTGGTTGCAAGCGTAGCTGCAACGGGTACAGCTAGTCACACATAAAAGACGGTTGCAGGATGTGCACACTGTTGCAATGATAAAGTTGTTATGGAAAGAACCTGGGAGGCTCCATAATTCAGTCAGGGGAATAATACATGCACTTCAACATTTCAGAGATTTTTTTTCCTGCTTGTGGTCTCCAACATCTTCAAAACATTTCAAATGACATTTCTACAAGTCAGAAACCCCAGGTTTCTAACATAGGACAAAAGAGGCCTTTTTTAAAAAGAAAAGTCTATATAATTAGAAAGGACATACAAGAAGTGCTGTCCTTTGGATGAGATTTAAAACCAAGGTCACGTCTGCCTGTTCAGCTGGACGTTGAACATCCCATGCCACTATTTAAAAACAGAAGGGAGTTTCTCTCCCAAATGGCCCAAATCCCGAAAATAAAATAGGTTATTTATTTCATGGCTGTTTGTGGGACATTGCTGTGTGCAATTGTGCTGCTGCATTTGCCTAAAAAAAAACATCAACTCAATTTCACAGTAATTTCTGTGATGCGCTTTGAGACATCCGTCCGATGTGATAAGGTGCCATATCAAATATAAGGATTATTATCATTATAATTACTAATGACTAATTTGCCAACAAAATGTACATTCGCAACACTTTACAGTATATTCCTGTGAAGCGCACTGGGACATCATTCTGACATGAAAGGCACCATTGAAATGTAAGTATTATTATTAATACAATAATTATAATAATTCCAAATCTCTCATCAGGCTGATGCCTCAGAGCAGTGTTTTTCAAAGACCGCTCCAGGAAATGGGACTGGCTCATGTTAACCTCATGGCCAGTCCTTACCAGATATCTCTCCACTGACCTGAGAGACACATTTACAACATTTTAAGAAGAATTTGAGCCACTCCCTGATATTAAAAAGGTTAAGAAACACTGCTTAAGAAAACTATCATGTTCAGAACAATCTGTCCTTTTGCCTCAAGAAATATGACCTAATCCGGTGCTAAACAATGCTCCTTTCAAATTAATCTTAAACAATTGTCTTTTATCATATTAGCCAAAACATTAGTATTTGAATAAACATAATAATTCAATTTCTGTCTATTTCACTCTTTAGATACTTTCCTCTTATACCATTCTGATTGTGAATGCCAGGTTATCATGTTACTAATTCAAAAAGCTCAAATCGACTTCCATTAGACTGCAATAAATGCCTTGACTTTCATAAACTCTTAATTTATTTTAATAATAATGTTAACATTGGGGACAGTCTGTCCAGCATTGTGAACTTGTCACTTCAATTTGTGTTAGTGATTGAATACTGGTCAGAACTATGCTCATGCATGGGTGTTCTGTCCCCTTCATACAGAGAATGCTGTTTTTGAACATTGCTTTAAATGTGTTGTGTTTTGAGTGGAAATTCAAACTGTTTTGAAATCTATCTGCACAGCTGAACCCAAAGCTGAGCTGAGCTGACATGTACCCAGAAAGAAATACCAATTCAAGGTATTAGGTTAAAGGGATTAATATAACATTTGCATTTTGTGCTGTGTTTGAATGTATTGTACATAATTGTTTCAAAAGCCATTATAAAAGATACTAGTTTGTACAATATTTACTCGCTCAGATATCAATCAAAGGCATTTCACTATTTATTGTCTTGGGATGACAAGCAAGAGGAAAGGGGAGGTGACCATAAGTGCAGTTAAAGAGGTAGCTCAAAATAAAGGCAGTGAAGCAGGTCTACTTTTCATTCCTCCACTAAAGGAGGAATGAGGTTAATCGTTACACAAGTTGCGCAATGTGTTGCAAATCATCATCTTGTTATCAAGCAAAATAGTTTCTTTTGGGTCACAAGGCACCTTCTAATCAACTCAAAGTAGTCAGTCCTTAAGCTCCATTTATTGGAGCGCTGAGCCCCCATAAGTGCATCAGGAGAAATGCTCACTGTATTTAAGCTACACCCATACACAGATAATAATAATCCTTGCATTTGATATAGTGCTTTTCACGTCTTCTCAACATCTCAAAGCGCTTCACAGAATAGACTGTAAAGTGAATTGACGGTATATTTGTGGGCGAAACGCGGCAGCCAATTGCGCACAGCAATGTCCCACAAACAGTCATAGATTGAAAATGACCAATTTATTATTGTTTTGTTTTGGAGGGATTATTATTAGGCGTGTGGAGTAAGGAAACTTGCCCACGGTTTTGCCCTGCCTGGAATTGAACCCAGGTGTCTCGCTTGTGAGGCGAGTGCTCTAACTACTGAGCTACAGGACTCCTTAATACTGATACTGAACTGTTGTAATGGTTTGATTCAAATAAACATTCATTACTTCTAAAAATACTCAAGCTGCTCCAATTCATTTTTCCTCCTTGTTTTATATGATTCACAAACTGTTCCAAATGTTCACCCAAATTGCATTGCAAGACTAAGGTTCCCAAGATTGCAGAGAATTTGGGAATTGAAAACATACCTAAACATATATGAATTCTTGTGAAACAAACAAATGTTTGTAGGTTCATTGCGTTTGAATTATTCAAGACATTTAGTGTCAGGCTCATGATTAACAAAACATGTATTGTGAAATATCAGAAGGAAGTACATGAACTGTTGAATTACTCCATTCTCTGCATACTTGCAAGATGAACCCAGCTTCCCTTGAAGATTTATCCTATTGAAACTTTCACAAGTAAAATTCTTACCTCCTTTGTTTCTAAAATATGCACTTTTGTGGGGTAGGATTTTAATTTCCTCCTCAGTCTTTCTGTAGGCGTTTTCAAATACTTGGAAGTTGATTACTGAAATAGTTTATTTCATATCAGTGCATACACAGGTGAGGCAACTCGGTACTGAGGTGAGCACTTTACTTGGCTCCCTTTGAAAACTGTTACAAATGTTGAAGGTAAAAGAAAAATGGCTTGATGATAATGTAGTACCATAAGTTTGGCATGAGCACTGCATACCTGCCTGGCTGAACTTGGCATCAAACTCTGGTGCTCCAACTGAAATGGGAAAAGGTATCCTGGTACATAATGTGCGTGTCCTTTATTACTTACAGAGTGTGGTGATGGGCTATCTACATAGGAGCAGCTATTGAATCTGAGTTGTTATGTGCCTTTACATAGACTTTTTTATTCCGTGATGTAGAGTAAACATTACAAAGGTTTATTGCAGCTTGAACAAAATGATATAATGGTCTTTCATTTTTGGGGAGTTAGCTGGGTGTCTGAAATGTGCGAAAACCCAGCACCATGCTTAAGACTAACCAAACCTAAAGTTCCACATATTTATGCCAAATGGCATGGAAGTTACCCTTGTCTGGAATGCAATGTACTCCATTACCAGATTTAATATTTCTATATTACTTACGTCTCCATGTTGTGATGTGTTGTATGTTTTATTTTCATCAGGAGATATTGAAATCCATAATTTGGCAGCAAGCTGTGCTCTGATGCCACTCAGTGCAGAGAGGAAGACAGCACTGGACAGAAATTTTGTAAAACTGAAATCTTTACACAGTCCCATCATGAGCAAACAGATTTTTCCACCTAAAGTAACACTGGAGCGACGCAGTATTTCTGTTCTTCTATCAAACAAAGAACGACTTGAAGTCCTTGTTGGAGTGAGTAGAAACTTTGAATTGTCTAAAATAATGCTCTATGATTATTATGAGTACAGAAAGACATATAAATGTTTACTGTTCAAAGTGTTCATTACAACTTCAGTTGAGTGATGTGATGTTTTCTGACAATTCCCATTAGTGAGCTCCAGAAGTTGCTACCTCACACAAATGAAACTTGAAAATGGACTGCATGAATGGGAAAATTGTGCCCAATTACAACACACCTCTACTGGGAAATGTCAGAGGTCTTTAATTATTTGCTATCATTAGCAGATATCATTTTAAAAAGTAATGAAAAGATTGCTGCTTTTAGGGAGCAATGTGCGATAGCTCATAAATTGTTATTATAAATAGTACTGACACTCCAATAAATTCCTGCCTTCCAGGTTAGTCATTTGTAAGAGGTTTCAGCTTCTGCCCTCTTTGTACCTTTACATTTACATTTATACTTAGTTTACCTTTCCTTTATTTCTATTTAAAATATGCCATGCTCTTTTCCAAGCACTTTATTTAAGCGCTTTGAGACATCCTCCCGATGTGAAAGGCGCTTTATAAATATTAATTTATTGAAATGTGTTTTATTCAAAAATATACTATTTGTCTTTATTTTATCCGAAAAACAGCACTTCCAACAATGCAGCCATTCTCCCCTGTACTGCATTGGAGTGTCAGCCTAGAGTTCAAGTTTAAGTCTTGTATGACTTAGTCTCAGAGCCAGGAGTACTGCCATCTGGGTCAAGCTATAGAGTAAATAAATTAGACTTCCATCAAAACCATTAACTGCTCAACCAAGGCTAACAGCTGTAATGCGAGTAAAATTCCCTCTACGCAGATTAGATTAGAGCAAGAGGCAGCCATGAAAACAATGGGGGTCTGCTTTTCTGATGCGTGTTTGTATTTCTCTGAATCTACTGCTGTGGCTTTTGGGGGTAGGAGGGAGGTGCTTATAGATTCTGAAATAATTCCTGCCCATTTCAGTATCTTTTAAATAATTATCTACACTGAATCAATGAACAGGATTTCCTTTGTAGTTAAAGTGGGGAGGTGAGGGGGGGGGAAATAATAATTTCACCTGCTGCGAGTCTGAGAGTTGAGCAAGGCACAATGATGATGTTTAACCTAATCCAGCAGGAAACTACTGATCAGATGATGAGGGAGAAGGGAAGAGAAGGGATTAGGATGAGTGGAGACTCATGTGAAGTATAAACAGGCAATGACTAGTTGGGCTAAATGTCCTGTTTCCATACTGTAATGTTCTAGGTAATTCTATGCAAGAAAACATATTGCATTCTCTGCGTCTGATGGCCCAGTAGTGACTTTCAAGCACAAGTTTGTGTCAGTGTGGCAGAATTTGGCAAATTCTTAAATCCAGCCTTTGATGTGAAGCCTGTTTTCTGTATGTTTTCTTAAGATCTACAGAAAGCCAGCTTCAAAGTTATGACTGAATTCAACAATTGCCAAATTCTCTCTGCTTTGAAACGCTACATAAATAGAAGAAATCTAGATCTAGGTGAAATTGTAATGCACATCTGATCGTCTTTAACAGTCCTGCTGCTTCAGTATTGAGTGGAAGTGTGAGTTACTAATTCTATATTATTACCTAATTTGAACAATAATTCCATTGTTATTATGTACTCAGTCTCTCTGCCCCCATTCTCTGAAACTCCATCCCAGAGTCCCTTTGCCTCACCCTCACTATCCTTCAATGTCAGTCTCAAAACTATCCTCTTTGACCACACTTTTGGTCATTTCCCCCACACATCACCTTTGGCCCCCACCCAGCCTGAATCTAGCTCACAGCTTGGATGCAAACCCATGACTGTCCAGCACATTGGGACGTCCTCCCGTGGCGAAAGCTATGTAGTTTGTAAATGTAGTTTGCTGAATTTTGAATACTACAGTAATTCTACATTTTTGTTGCACGCTGCCATCTAAATACTAATTCTATATTATTATTGCGTACCCATTTGAATGCAATTATTTTTGCTTTGTATTTGTTAAGTGAAGACAATGCCCGTTTATTAAATGTCTTCAGGCATTCTCAGCACTTTCTAAGCAAACATTCAACAAAGTGTGTTGACCAGGAAGTTGTCTGATCATGGTGTTAGTTTGAAAGTGTGTGTTCCACATATCCTGTTCTGACTCTGTTTTTGTTGTAGATCAAAGCTACTGGCCAGGAGCTCCACAATCAAGTTTGTGAGTTACTGAAGATCAAGGATGCTCACTTCTTTGGTATTAGTGTGGTAAAAAGTAAGTTCTGGTTCAATTATTTAATCTACTTGTGTTTTTTAAAAAATGAAATTAATATAAATTCGATGATGGAACATTTGTGAGAAAATTAGATTACTTCACATGAGTCACAAGAGGATTTAAAAAAAAATAATGTAACCAATTATTTTTCTCTCTCTAATTTTCTCCCTACTGGTATAAACCTCTCTGCCTGGTCTGGCCTCTCTTACCGAGGCGCAGTCCCAAAGCACTGGTTGCCGAGAAGTATTCTGCCCAAGTAGTCATTGTTCATGTGTGAGCCCTTGAAGTGAGTGTCGTCAGGTCACTCGACTATAGAGGATGTCACAGCTGAGCCCAACCTCTGCTTGCCTGGCTGTGACGCTTTCCTAACCCTGGGAAGGCCAGGACCGATGGGCCTGCCCTGTGTGAGGAAGTTACAACTGAGAATAGTAAACTCAGCATGGACTTGGATTCAAACCAGCGAACTCATGCTCTGAAAGCTGCAGTTCTGTCCACTACACCATCAGGGGATGCCTACCCCCACGAGAGGATTCTTAACCATCACCTGATGTTGTTAGTTTGTTATAGGATTACAAATGGAATTATTTGTCTCTGGCTCTATGCTCTGATTATACGCAATATTTTTTTCTTAAAAAAAGCTAAACACTATTGAGTCAAACACAACTGGAGCACAGTTAATTTGTTACAGCCAGAAAGGTGTTCAGTAACACAATATTTTTATAATTCTACAGCTCACCTAGTGAGATAAGATTTAGAAGCATTTGCTTTAATTTTCACATCACAAAATATTCATTTGCTATTTCTGTATTTTTCTATTTTCCTTCAATCCTAAATTGTAGAAGTCCTCAAAGTTGGCACAGTTGAAAAGTATGACTGCATATAGGAACATAGGACTGTGCAGGACCAGGAAACATCATTATAATCCTTCTCCACATAATATCTCTTTCTATTTCACATTTCCTCTAATTCCAATTTGCAATCAGAAAATATCCAATTCTGCAATTCACTACAAATTGTATATATTTATTTAGCGTCTTTCAGGCCACGAGAATGTCTGCAGGGGCTTAACAGTCCTGGGTTCTCACCTGAGCTGGGGGTGAGAGCCAAAGGGCGATGACCGAAAACAGGGTCAATTCTGTTTTGAAAGTGCCCCCACTATTCATCTCCACTGCCTCTACCTATTGCAAAGAAGCTTAAACTAAATGTATCTTCTTCCCTATGAGTTTAAGAGCATTATTCTTGGTGTGGCTCTCTTGACCATTAATATCCATATCAGTAAGGATATATTACATAGCCTGTCCTCCCAATGGTTAGGTCCCTGTACCAGTCCCATAACCTGACATTTGTCAGCATCCACTATAACAACTGATCATGCTTGTTTTCCTTCCGTGTTACAAGGATGAATTCTAGTCCTAGATTCATTAAGTTTGGAATGTAGGGTAGCACTTCTTTGATGGGAGAGAGGATAGTGCATCAATATCATCATGTTGCACTCAGATGGACATTTTGTTTTATTTTCTCCCCTTAGTCTGCCACCCTTGAGACAGTGACACATGATGAGGTGCAGGATGACCAGCAGTTCATGTGGTCTTTTTACCAGATCAAACCATGAGAATCTAAAGATACTCTAAACTAAGGGAAGGTGGTTAAACCCAGCCATTCCAAAATCATGCCTTTGCTCTTTCCTCATCCACCAACTACATGCACTATTCAATTGTGGGGTGATGGAGGGAGTCATCACTTGTTAGAAATCGGGAGTATGACCTTGGCTGATTTATCTTCCTGACTGCCCAGTTACTGGGATCAATTTTAGTGGCCCCACTAAATGTCTACATGTTGATGTGAACACTAAGAGCAATATTAAAAGTGGGAGAGACAATTGTTCAGGTTCTCCACTGGCAATAATATAAAACACAAACAGATTTCACAATTTTTTCTTTTGTTGATGTTGGAAGTCCGCATTTGATCATTAAAGAGGATGGCTTAATTCATTCAACTGTTTTGGAGTGATCCATAATTGATACTCTCTTGTAAATGATGAAGACTGCTCGTCACTCTCTTGTACTGCTATTGCTTCTTTTATACAGCAGATATAAAGATTGTACAGAGCATTCTTCTTTTTATCTCCTCCCCAAGTGTACATTGCAATGCCACAAGTTGAGATTTTGAACTCAGTTGAGGCTGACACTCCAATACAGTGTTGGTCATGTGCTGCATTATCGGAGGTGCTGTCCTTTGGATATGATGTTAATCTGATGTTAATCTGCCTATTCAGGTGGATGTTAGAGAAGCCATGGCAGTACTCAAAAAGAGAAGAGAGCTTATCCTGGTGTCCTGGCCAACAATCCCCCAATAAAATTGGTCACTCACTTTGTGGCTATTGTTGGACATTCCTGTGCACAAATTGGTTGCCGTGTTTGCCTGCAAATACACTGTCACTGCATGTCATAGGAAAATCCTGTGAAATGTTTTGAGACATTTCTATTGGACATAATAATAATAATCCTTGCATTTGATATACAAGAACAACTTGCACTTATATAGCGCCTTCCACGCAGGGTAGCGTCTCAGAGCGCTTGAGCTTTGTATCACATTGTTGAGACATCTTACAAAACATATTGTAAAGTGGATTGATTGACTGTGTATTTTGTGGGTAAGACTGAACAAAACAGTCATTGAAAATGTTCCCCTACAGATTCAACTAAACCAATATAAAATACAAAAATATAGCAAAACCAAATTATAAATCTAGGAGTGTTTCCAAAAGCTCTTTGAGAGACTGTTGTCCAGTAAATATTTTGTCTCTTGTGCTTCCACTTCTCTAATTAATACACAACAATAACTGAAGTGCTGTTTTGTGTATTTTAGACAATGAGCACATTTTCATGGACTTGGAACAGAAGCTTACTAAATATTTTCCCAAGGAATGGAAGAAAGAAATCAATAAAGTAAGTCTAATTTTTATCTGGAACAACAACAATGACAACAACTTGCATTAATATAGCTCCCTTCTCCTGGGCGAAGGATATTTGGTAGATCCTTGAATTCTGCAGCAACTGTGATCTTTGAAACATCAGTTTGATGAGGTCTTACACTATTTGTTACAGAGCAATAATCTGTCGATTTACAGGCTTCTGGTAGAATATTTCCTGTAGCTTGTACTTACATAAGTCAAAGTGCACTACTGAGTCTGGTTGAATTGTCTTCATGTGTGGATATGTCCTTCTTCATCAAGAAGACATTAAATGTACTTTTCAGAGCTTAGCTTTCAGCATTGACTAACTGGCTTCTCACGCTAAACAATAGTCGATTTCTGGGTTGTCATGTTGCCACTATTGTCACTTCTTGCACATTGTACTCATGCACACTCTGTGTGCTGAAGAATTCATAGAATTATACACCATAGAAGGAGGCCATTCGGCCCATCGTATCTGTGCCGGCTCTTTCAAAAGAGCTATACAAATCAATCCCACTCCCCCGCTCTCTTGCCCCATAGCCCTGCAAACTTGTCCTCCGCAAATAATTATCAACTTCTCTCTTAAAAGTTGTAATTGAATCGGCTTCCACCAATCTTTCAGGCAATGTATTCCAGATGCGAACAATTCACAGCGTAAAAAAATTCTCCTCACCTCTGTTTCTTTTAACAACTATTTTAAATTGGCGTCCTAGGGTTACCGACCCACCCGCCAGTGGAAATAGTTTCTCCTTGTTCACCCTATCGAATCTCATCATAATTTTGAAAACTTCTATTAAGTCTCCTCTTAACCTTCTCTGCTCCAAGGAGAATAATCCCAGCTTCTCCAGCCTCTCCTAATAACTGAAGTCCCTCATTCCTGGTACCATCCTGGTAAATCTCCTTTGCACCATCTCCAATGCCTTAACATCCTTCCTGAAGTGTGGTGCCCAGAACTGAACACAGTACTCAAGCTGAGACCTAATCAGTGTTTTATAAAGGTTGATCATAACTTCCTAACTTTTGTATTATATGCCACTATTTCTAAAGCCTAGTATCCCGTATGCCTTTTCAACAGCTTTATCTCCTTGTCCTGTCACCTTCAAAGATTTACTTATATGAACTTATATATATCCTCCTCACTGTGAACTACCTTTGCAAACTTAGAAATTGTACTCACTATATCCAGTCTAGGTCATTTATATAGATCAAAACCAGCAGTGTTCTCAACACCTAACTCCTGGGGGACACCACTGCACACTTCCCTCCAGTCAGAAAAACAACTGTTCACCACCACTCTCTGCTTTCTGTCTTCCAGTCAGTTCTGTATCCATGCGGCCACTGTCCCTTTAATACCGTGGGCTTCTATTTTGCTTACAAGTCTCTTATGTGGCACTTTATCAAACACCTTTTGAAAATCCGAATAAACTACATCAACTGCATTACCTTCCTCCACCCTCTCGATTACTTCATCAAAGTACTCTATCAGGATTGTTAGACACGATTTGCCTTTAACAAATCCGGGTTGGCTGTCCTTTATTAACCATATTTTTCTAAGTGAAAATTTATTTTGTCCTGGATTATAGTCTTTAGATGTTTCCCCACTACTGACATTACATGTACTTATAAGAATTTCTCAAAGAACAACCAAGTTTCAACTCTGTGCACAGGACAACAACTGTAGAATTAAAAAGTATTCAACCCATTAATGAAATTGTACTATTAGACATTATTTTAAGAAATTACATGAATTCTGTTTTATATTTGCAGAAGAAAGTATCAAACTATTCCTAAATATGAACAAACTTGTTTCTATTCTGCAAAAGGACTTTGGTATCGAATAGTTTTGCTCAAATTACGTGCCCATCCCTGCAAGAAGCTTTCTGTTCCACTGATGTCTGCTTTTCCCTTTGTTTTAACAGAACCATGAAAAATTTGGATCTCCATATGTCGTTAGTTTCAGGGTACAGTATTATGTTGAAAACGGAAAAGTAATAAGGTAAAGAGTTTCTGTTTAACATTTGTATTAAAAGAAAAGGAAGCATATTTCTAAAACATTTAATGAGCCAGATTTCATAAAAGTAGGCTTGCAATAAATATTGAATAAAAAATAATTTTAAAATAAAAAAATCAGATTTTAAAATAATCCTATGAATGGATCATATTCATCTGATTCTCTTTAAAACCGTTTTGGCTGTTTTGGATGAGGATTTTTTAGCATTTAAAAAACAAGGTGAAGCGTCAAGACTCATTCTGCAGCGAATCACCAAGATTGCGAGGTCTGGGAAAGTAGAGATACACCTAGATATAGTGTTTCAGTGACATCAAGCTTGTGAAAGGAGTAGGTTTAAGAGCTGAGTTTTGATCTCAGGACAGTGAGAATCCAGGGAGGAGGAAAGTGTGTGTAGGATGGCATATTCAGTGCCTAAGAAGACCAAGAAAGGAAAGTTCAGAGAAAGAATACGCGTAGTGTAACAATGGTATAACATAGTGTAACAATGGTATAACATAGTGTAACAATGGTATAACATAGTGTAACAATGGTATAACATAGTGTAACAATGGTATATCATAGTGTAACAATGGTATAACATAGTGTAACAATGGTATAACATAGTGTAACAATGGTATAACATAGTGTAACAATGGTATAACATAGTGTAACAATGGTATATCATAGTGTAACAATGGTATAACATAGTGTAACAATGGTATAACATAGTGTAACAATGGTATAACATAGTGTAACAATGGTATAACATAGTGTAACAATGGTATAACATAGTGTAACAATGGTATAACATAGTGTAACAATGGTATAACATAGTGTAACAATGGTATATCATAGTGTAACAATGGTATAACATAGTGTAACAATGGTATAACATAGTGCAACAATGGTATAACATAGTGTAACAATGGTATAACATAGTGTAACAATGGTATAACATAGTGTAACAATGGTATAACATAGTGTAACAATGGTATATCATAGTGTAACAATGGTATAACATAGTGTAACAATGGTATAACATAGTGTAACAATGGTATAACATAGTGCAACAATGGTATAACATAGTGTAACAATGGTATATCATAGTGTAACAATGGTATATCATAGTGTAACAATGGTATAACATAGTGTAACAATGGTATAACATAGTGTAACAATGGTATAACATAGTGTAACAATGGTATAACATAGTGTAACAATGGTATATCATAGTGTAACAATGGTATAACATAGTGTAACAATGGTATAACATAGTGTAACAATGGTATAACATAGTGTAACAATGGTATAACATAGTGTAACAATGGTATAACATAGTGTAACAATGGTATAACATAGTGTAACAATGGTATATCATAGTGTAACAATGGTATAACATAGTGTAACAATGGTATAACATAGTGTAACAATGGTATAACATAGTGCAACAATGGTATAACATAGTGTAACAATGGTATATCATAGTGTAACAATGGTATATCATAGTGTAACAATGGTATAACATAGTGTAACAATGGTATAACATAGTGTAACAATGGTATAACATAGTGTAACAATGGTATAACATAGTGTAACAATGGTATAACATAGTGTAACAATGGTATAACATAGTGTAACAATGGTATAACATAGTGTAACAATGGTATAACATAGTGTAACAATGGTATAACATAGTGCAACAATGGTATAACATAGTGTAACAATGGTATAACATAGTGTAACAATGGTATAACATAGTGCAACAATGGTATAACATAGTGTAACAATGGTATAACATAGTGTAACAATGGTATAACATAGTGTAACAATGGTATAACATAGTGTAACAATGGTATATCATAGTGTAACAATGGTATATCATAGTGTAACAATGGTATAACATAGTGTAACAATGGTATAACATAGTGTAACAATAGAATAAAGAGAAGTAATGTTGCGAAGGAGAAAGAGTGAGGTTGGAGGTCAGAGGTGAGGTCATTCTATAAAAGTTAGTCTAATATATTGTTCAAAAGGGAATTGAGTCACTGTACGATGTTTGCTTTCATTGTGTCCCAGCTATTAAATGTGCTTCTCCTGACATGAGAACATTTGTGGAGTCCTGTAGCTCAGTGGTTAGAGCACTCGCTTTGCAAGTGAGAGACCTGAGTTCAATTCCAAGTCAGGGCGAAACCTTGGGCAAGTTTCCTTACTCCACACAGAGCCTAATAATAATCCCTCCAAAACCCAAAACAATAATAAATTGGTCATTTTCAATCTACGACTGTTTGTGGGACATTGCTGTGCGCAATTGGCTGCCGCGTTCGCCCACAAATATACAGTCAATTCACTTTACAGTGTGTTCTGTGAAATGCTTTGGGACGTCCTCCCGACGTGAAAAGCGCTATATCAAATGCAAGGATTATTATTAACAGGAATAAATCGATGGTGGACTCTACGCTTAATAGAGAGTTATTGGAGAATAATTCTATGAGTTCTTGGATTGTAATTTTCTGCTGGAGTTGTTGAGTTGTTTATTGTGATGTTGCACTCCATGGCCTTGCTCCCCCGTACCTCTGTGACCTCCTAACCCCCTACCAACCTGCCCTCTCCCTCCGCTCAGCGGGCTCCGGTCTGCTTCATGTCCCCCACCTCACCTGCCCCACCATTGGCGGGTGGGCCTTCAGCCACTCTGCCCCAACCCACTGGAACTCCATCCCGCTGTCCCTCCGCCTCACCCCCTCCCTTGCCTCCTTCAAGACCTGTCTCAAGACCCTCCTCTTCGACTGTGCCTTCGGTCACCCTCCATCCCCCTCCGCCCTCCAACCTCCCCGATCCCGACCCCCAGCTCGGGTCTGAAACACTGATTGTCCAGCGCCTTGGAACGTTCTCCTGACGTGAAAGATGCTATACAAATGGAATTTTGTTGTTGTTTGTTGTTGTTGCAAGGAGTAAAAAAAAAGTACAAGGAATCAATCCGTATTTGATTTTAGTTATAGATTCGGTATTCTCATTTTTAAATGGAATATTCAACTATCAGGTTATCGTCCCCATGATACGAATATGCTTACAAGATGCGTGTTACCTCTATCAGCATTTCGGTTAATTTACTAACTTCTCTAAAATGTTCATAGTGACAAAATAGCAAGACACTTCTACTACTTACAACTGAAGGATCAAGTTTTGAGATCGCGGTGCACAAGCAAAGAGGAAGTCTATTTCTTGCTTGCAGCATACGCATTGCAGGCTGACCTGGGAAACTACAAAGAGAAGGTGTACGCTGGAAAATATTTTGAGCCTCAGAAATATTTCCCTGAATGGGTAAGAATAATTCTTTGTTTCCAGCTAGTCCATGATTTTTTTTTGATCAACCGGGTGTCTGATCCATCACCGTGTTTAAGAGTATCCAAACCAAATGGGGAATTCCATGCATCCCATCTACACATGGAAATTTCAGAGCGATTGTGGAGTCCTGTAGCTCAGTAGTTAGAGCATTTGCCTCATAAACGAGGGACCTGGGTTTGATAATAATAATCCTTGCGTTTGATATAGCGCTTTTCACGTCTTCTAGACGTCTTAAAGCGCTTCACAGAATATACTGTAAAATGAATTGATTGTATATTTGTGGGCGATTGTGATTCCTGGCGGGGTGAAATGTGGGGCAAATTTCCTTACTCCACACACCTCTATTTACCCAGCAGTAGATAGGAACCTGGTTGTTAGTTGATTCGCGGATCGTTTTTCCGGGGGTAATAATTCCTGTAAAAAAAAGTAATAATAATAAATTGGTCTCTCAAGCTACGACTGTTTATGGGACACTTCTGTGCACAATTGGCTACTACGTTTCGCCCACAAAATATACAACAACAACAACAAAATTACATTTGTTGTTGTTTTCATGTGGGTTATGGCGGTGGTGAGAGAGGAGTGGGAGACAGGTTTGAAGGTGAGGAGGGAGGGATGGGTAGGGGCCAGAGTGGGAGGGGGAGATGGGGCGGGGGTAGTAGTCGGAAGGGCAGAGGCAGCTGAGTGGATCCCCTCAATTTTGGTTTTGAGAAAGTCCAGCATCGCCTCGCAGTTGAAGTTGGAGGTGAGGATTGGTGAGGTATAAGAGGGTGGGCAAAGGAGCTGGTTGGTGATGGAGAAGAGGTGCCTGGGGTTGTCCTTGGCCTCTAAGATTGTCTTGGACTAGAGGGATGATTTAGCGGAGGTGAGGATAGAATGGTAAGTTTTGATAAGGTCCAACCAGATCTGCTGATGGATTGTTAAGTTAGATTTGAGCCATGTGCATTCAGCGGCACGTACCAGTGCTTTGAGGGAACGAGGTGGCTGGTGTCCCGGGGTGACTTCCATGTGCAGGAGGCGGTTCAGGGTATGAGGGAAAAAGGACATCGAGAAGGGTGGAGAGAGAGTTGTGGAGGAGAGTGACCGAGGAGGACAGGTCAATGTGGGAGGAAGCTCAAAAGGGGAGGAGTTCAGATGACTCCAAGGCAGTGGAGAGGGAGGGTGGGGGAGATTTTTTTCCAGGAGCGGTAGGAGATGGATATGGGTTGGGTGGTGGTGGGGAGAGGGGTTGAGGTGTTAAGGGAGATGAAGTAATGGTCAATTCCCTTTACAGTATATTCTGTGAAGTGCTTTCCGACGTCTCGTAGACGTGATAAGGCGGTATATCAAATGTAAGGATTATTATATTTGTTAGAATGGAATGCGCTCTCGCTCCCTGGAGGAATGCATCCTGCTTACCTGATTCCTGGAGCGTGGAGTCCTGTAGCTCAGTGGTTAGAGCACTCGCCTTGCAAGCGAGAGACTGGGTTCGATTCCCAGCCGGGTGAAACGTTGGGCAAGTTTCCTTACTCCACATGCCTCTGTATACCGAGCAGTAAGTAGGAACCCTTTATTAGTTGATTAGCAGATTTCTTTTCCGGGGGTAATAATTCCTTCAAAAAAGGAATCCGCAACTGTTTGTGGGGCACTGCTGTGCGCAATTGGCTGCCGCGTTTCGCCCACAAAAAAATATACAAAGGAGATGATTTTCCCTTTAGACTGCTAACATTTCTTGTGTACAAATCATATGTGTTTGCCTTGCCCTGTTTTGTTTGCGATTCAAGGGCTGTAACTAAAATGTGGAATAATATTTGCTTTGTTGCATACAGGTAATTAACAAAAGGGGTCGTGATTACATTTTGAAGCATGCGCCTGAAGTGCACAGAGAACAGAATGGACTGACTGCTAAAGAGGCTCTGCTGAGGTTTATTAAAGAAGCTTGCCTTTTAGAGGATGTGCCTGTCCATTATTACAGACTCCAGAAAGTAAGGAGTGTGTTTTGATTAATTACTGCAGTAATTTAGAAGTGACTCGTGCTGTTCTCTGAAAATAATTCCATCCACAGAGCCTTTTGCTGAGTTATAATAATCCTTGCGTTCAATGTAGTGTTTTTCATATCCGGAGGACGTCTCAACGAGCTTCACAAGATTTGCTGTAAAGTGTAGTGACTATGTATTTTGAATTGTACATTGTACATACATATTAATAATTAGGGAAGTTCTCAAAGGGTAAGGAAACAAATGAAACAAGTGGACACAAAAAAACTTTATTTGTGTGCTTAGTTCAAATTAAATTACTTTAAACATAAAAGTATATGGAACTGACTATGCAGCAAGTGATGGAGGAAGATTGTGCCAAGAAGAAGTTGTATTTATATATAGTCAGTGTTTCTCAACGACCTTTAAGAAAACAGAGGGCAAGTGTATGTGAGATTTTTCTTACTTGATTAAGATTGATTTTATGGTGTACTGTAAGTTATATTTTTTGAGTGAAGCAGATCTGCTGGAATAAAATAGCTGAAGAATTCTTGGAGCCTGCCTCCTTTCTATTGCTGCTTGTGTGTCCAGTCATTTGTTTTAGCCAGATTACGAGCCAACTTTCCTTTTTGGTCCATCTCATTGGAATCATTTTCCAATAAAAATTTCCATAAATATGCATGATTCAAATATTTGTGTAAGTACTCAGTCTTATCCTTATTTTCTTCTTCTTTGAAAATGGTGTTTGTGTGATTTGTCTCGAACATTTAAACGCAAAGCACCATTTAGATGTTAAAATGTGTTTATCAACCATACATAGTCTAAAATTTTATTTGTTATCGGTGATTTGTGCTAATACATTAGGCCTATCTTTTGGTATAATAAATAGCATCAATAAATAACCTTTTGTCCTCATACATTGCTAACCTGGATATAATTTATTCTTTGGCAGGACAAGAAGGAAGAGGCTCCCTCAGTAGTGCTTGGGCTGACCCTGAAAGGCATGCTTATTTATCAGGTAAGGGATAAAGAATGTAACTGTAAACACATGCACTGTTGATTCAGTGTTGTAACGTGAAAAAAGCTAGGTGTAGAATTCTTACTTAATGCAGTTTTATGTGGTTGGAATGAGCGTCTATGAAGTGTACACTGTTAACTCTTGTTTTTTCTTGTTGTACTATAGGAATCTCATAATGTTCAACACTTGCTTTACGACTTTCCATGGTCAAACGTTGGCAAGCTTACTTTCCTGGTAAGTAGAGGAATGCAGATCTGCTGGTGTAACTGCCTGGAATGGAATCTTGTTAGGCCAGTTTTCAGTGACATTATTTAAACAGCAAAAAAATATCCAAAGGCTGTAAGTGGAGCCTGTATGCAGTGAGGCTGAATACATCATCAGGCTGCATGGTGCAAACTGACTGTAGCAACTCCCTAAATAAATATTTAAGAGGGGACCAATTAGAGGTTTTCAACATTGTAAAATGGTTTGATAAGATTAGCATAAATAAGCTTTTCCCAGTGGTTGGGGTGTCCGCAACCAGGGGACACAAGTGTAGAATAGCGACTGGGGATCTGAAAGAAAATTTAGGAGGAACTACTTCACCTGGAGGGTAGTGAGAATATGGAACTTGTCTGAAGTGATTGTTGAATCAGATGCTATAGATGCTATTTAAGATGTAGCTAGATATTCACATGAAGAAGATGGAGGAGAAGGGTATAGGAGGGAGGAAGGAGTGGGTGGAAATCTGTGGAGAACAAATATCAACACGGGCCGAGTGTTCTGTTTCTGTGCTGTACATTCTTTGTAAATCTTTGTAAATATGCAAAATACAACCGGTGTGATTTATTACCAAATCATCAGTATCTTACGCAATATTAAACAAAACTGGGTTGATAGAGTACAAGTGAAATGTCTAACTAGTATTTTCTGTAGCCTATTCTGTTCTGGCTGTTGCAGGGGAAGAAGTTTGAGATCCAGCCAGATGGTTTACCTTCAGCCCAGAAACTGGTCTATTACACAGGCTGTCCGTTCCGGTCTAAGCATTTGTTACAACTGCTCAGCAACAGCCACAGGCTTTATATGAACATCCAGCCTGTGCTCAGACAGATCCGAAAACGAGAGGAGACTGAGGGTAAGATCAGAGGTGTGGGTAGAGTTTGTATATGTGGTGGTGAGAGGGAGGTTTGCAATCTTAAAGGCAACTGGAACTCCTGTTTTAAACTTGTAATTTTTCTAAAACAATGTAAGTTCATAAACTGGTTGAGTAACTAGAAATACTCCAAATTGGCCCGGGATAACACTACTGTTTAGTTTAAGATTCCTTTTCTGGAAACTATTGTTGGAACAGTAATGATTATCAAGACTGTGAGATGTAGAGGTCTGATTTGTATTTTTAAACAGGATCCTTTAATAAGGTTTGTCACCAAGAATTAACATCAACCTGCGAGAACCAGAAGTAGATATTTTGGAGTGGCGTTCCCATAGGTCGGGATGATGTACATACACTTACTTTAAATAGACCCATTTGTATAAATAATGGTAATAATCATTACATTTGGCACAGCACCTTTCATGCTAGGAGGACATCCAAAAGTGGTTCACGAGATGTTTTGTAAAGTGCAGTCACTGCATGTGTTTTGTACGTGAACGTGGCAGGCAATTTGTGCACAACAATGTCCCACAAGCAGCCATGGAATGAGTGACGAATTCTATTTGGGGGACTTGGGACAGGACACCAGGGGAAATTCCCTTCTCGTTTTGAATATTGCCACAAGATTTTTAACGTCCACCTGAATAAGTAGAGATAGATTAGATTTAACATCTCATCCAAAGGATGGCACCTCCAACATATGGCACATCCCAGCACTGCATTGGAACATTAGCTTAGATAAAATGAGTTCTCAGCCCTGACGTGGGGCTTGAGCTTTCAACCTTCTGACTCAGAGGCAAGAGTGCTACCAAATGACACAGGCTGGCATTTAAATTGGTTGAATAACTTAAGGAATTATGGAATCCTGTTAAGAAATCCTGTTAATTAAACCTCATTCACTTTTGTGGTTTGCAATGTCTCAAACACAGCACACCCAAGCAAGTTTCTCTTCAATGCTGAGTATGATGTTTGATCAGAGGAGACTCTGCAAATATACATTACTTTGGAGAAGTGAGTGTAGTCTCAACCACTGAGAATTATTTATTTTGCCTCCCTCTGATGATTTTAGTACTTGCAACTCATTCTTGTCAGGCAATTTATCTAAACTCTACTGAACTTAAATGAAACCAAACAATGTAGTTTTACTACAAGAGCTCCTTCTGCAGGCTGTATGTCTCACTACAGCTTTGTGCAGCTTGGATTGAAGAGCAAAGAAAAACCCAGAGGCTCATTTGTCAAGCTTCATTCTGAGACTCTGAGTAAAAAAATCCACTCAGTGTGATACACATCGCTTTTCCCTATGTGACCCATTTCTAATCGTGCATTCCCAAACACACCTTGGGTAACACTGAAAGGAATATTTTATTCCAAAGGGCTTGCGATGTGAAATCCCAAATTCTAATCAGCTGCCAGCTTATTCTGGGCATTATTGATTTTTTTTTGTCTAGACAGAGGAGTGGATCATTGAACAAACTTATGATATTAATTGCAACAATTATTCTCCATGTATAGTTTTCTCTTTGTAATTTAAAACAAACCTTCTTCACTCTGTACAAAATACAGAAAAAAAGCGCTACAGAGAGTCGTACGTAAGTGATCCCTTTGAGATGGACTTGGAGCACCTGGATAAGAATTCCTATGGTAGTGGGAGCAGTCGGGGCAGTGTGAGGAACAAGAGATTCTCCCGACAGTCAACGGTTAGCCATGGCAGTTCACACACCTCTGGGATTGAGGCCGATTCAAGACATAGAATGTCTGTGGAGATGGCAGTGGATGAACCCTTCTCCATTGAGCCAGTGCATAGCCCGGTCAAATCCTGCAGTTCAATGAACAGCCATGGCAGTTCACATACATCAGGAATAGAGAGCGGTAGCAAAGACCGAGCTAAGGAAGATTCCGAAGATGATGGTAAGGCTTTAATGTGTTTTTGATGTTAGCAAATACTGGTATGTTCTTGTAGAGAGAGAAAGAAATTCAGGACAACTGCTTTGATGGCTTACTGAAGTTCCACAGTAACTCCTATCAGAATGAATTCATATTCCACTTCCTAACGTGCTATAAACTGAGGTGAGTTGAGTGCAGATCCAGGTTATGGAACTGGATATAGTTATGATTGACATTGAAATAACCTTTTAAAGAAAAAAAAGAAAGTAATGTGAGAGTATGCCTTTTAAACCTTGCTCTATGACAATTACAAGGCTTGCAGTCAAGTTCTTTTATGTCTTTAACAAGGCTTTCAGAATACATTGACATCTAGCAATGAATCTGGATCTGTCTAAGTAGAGATTCTCTACAACTGTCTAACTGGAGATATGGAGTTGACAAGCCATAGCTTAGGGTCTCTATTAGAATAAAAGGAATAGAACATCCATCCCAATGAGCCTATTCTAACATTTCATAATAGATCATTGGCTAATCTTCAATTTAATACCAATTTCCTGCCCTTTCACCATACCCCTTGCTACCCCTGCCCAATGATTTTCACGTTTCCACAATTCTTCAGATTTTGTAGAAGCCCAAGAAATCGGTGCATGTTGCCAGGACCTAAAATGTCCATGCTAGGAAGAAGGCTGTGTTATTTGCGGCTTTGAGCATTTAAAACAGAAGTGATTGTGGTTCAATAAAATTGTCTGTTATTTACATGAAGTTTTGAATGACTTAGTACTATTGTTTTGTCCTAAAGAAGTGGAGGTCCCTGTTGATGGTCCACTTGAAATACAGCAGAACGATGAGTTCATTGAAGGTGAATCTGTTGACTATCCTCTTTTAAACTACCCTCTTTTAGTCAAGGACCACTGGCAAGGTGAGCTGTAAGCTTTTAATGGCCTTGCATGTGTGACTGCTATGCAAATGGTTTGTGAATCTTAAACGTAGCTCTCAAACCTTCTTTCAGTAATGTGAAGGGATTATGGGATGTACACATTTCTTTGCCTAGTTACCACCAGTCTACTTTAGTGACCCTCACTTCTATTTTCACTTCAAAATAAATCTCGTCTCAAGCTGTGTTTTAACTGAATAAAAGTAGAAGAAAACCATTTGTCCCCCCCCCCCATCTCTTTCAAGGTCCATTTTAAGACCCTGTCCATTGACTTGGGACGGCCTCCCGATGTGAAAAGCGCTATACAAATGTAATGTTGTTGTTCCTCTTTGACTATGCCTTCAATCATCTCGGCTGTTTGTGGGATATTGTTGAGCACAAACTGGTTACCATATTTTCACCCACAAAATACACAGTCATTCTATTTTACAGTACATCCCGTGAAATGCTTTGAGATGCCTCAACAATGTGATAAGGCGTTATATCAAATTCAAGGATTATTATTATTTTTCTATTATAATCCTTCCCCTTCCCACCCCCGTTGGCTCCCACCACCAGCTCGGATGCCCAGCCAGGTTTGTTAACGGCATTGGGGTGTCCTCCTGACATGAAAGGTCCTATATCAATGTAAAATTATATTGCGGGAACAGCAAAACTTGTATTTGAGCTTGGAGCAATGAGAAACACAGTGGAAATAAAAATCCTATTTTAATTAAGTTATTATCATTGTGCAAAAATTATATCAAGAAGTAATTTGACTGAATTCCTTCTCAAGTATTATTAAAATTTTGAAATGGTCTTTGCTTTATGTTTAAAATCTCATTGCAACTATTGCTTATCGATAATATCCTGCTTTGTAAAACTCTTCTGTGGCTCCTCTATCCCCGCGTAGTAGTACTCTCTCCTCTGAGTCAGAAGGCTGTGGGTTCAAATCCCAGGACTTAAACTCACATAGTTGACAGTCTAATGCAGTGTGTGTGTGTGTGGGGTGGGGGGTGGGTTGCATTGTTGGAGGTGGGGTCTTTCGGATGAAACATTAAAACCGAAGTCCCGTCTGCCTATTCAAGTGGACATTAAAGACATTAACGATCCCATGGCACTATTTGGAAAAGAGACAAAGGGTCGTGGACCCGAGACGTTGACTCACTTTCCTTTCTCTATAGATTCTGCCTAAAATGCTGAGTTTTCCCAGCTCTCTCTGTTTTTGTTTCAGATTCCAGCATCTGCAGTATTTTGTGTTATGTAAATGATTCTCTCGGTGTCTCGGCCAACAATCACCCAAATAAAATTGGTCATTCCTTTCATGGCTGATGTAGACATTGTTGTGCGCAAATTGGCTGCTGTGTTTGACCACAAATACACAGTCACTCCAATTCACAGTAAATCCTGTGAAGCGCTTTGTGGCGTTCTCCCGATGTGAAATGCGCTATGCCAAATGTAAGGATTATTATTAATACAATGTTTTGAGTAGTTGGTACATTTCACACAACAAGACTGATTTTGTACTACACTCTTGACCTTAAGAAAAATACTGCCTTACTCAAACTAAGTGGCACTGTTATAATTATATTTATTCATTTATCAATGGTGACTGTCCAGCACCTTGGGACATCCTCCTGACGTGAAAGGTGTTATACAAATGTTATTTGTTGTTGGTGGCTCAATTGGTAGCACTCATGCTGGGTTTAAACCCTACATCGGGACTTTGAGCTTGTTGTCTAGGCTGACACTCCCAATGCAGTGCTGGGGGTGGCTGCATTATCGGAGGTCCTGTCCTTCTGTTGAGATGTCAAACTGAGTTTCTCCCAGTGCCCTGGACAACAATCCTCCAGAGAAAAGTGCTCATTCATTTCATGGTTGTTGTGGCACATCGCTATGTGCAATTGGCCACCACATTACATAGTCACTATACCTTATAGCAAAATTGTGTATGGTTTGAGACATTTAAATGACATAAGGTCCTATATCAAACGCAAGGATTATTATTTGTATTTATTAAAGCATTTAGAAGGATGCATCTATTACAATTAGCCTAATACATGTGGATGAACTGTGAAACTTGTGTGTTTTTTTTGTAATGACAGGGTCTGTTTCATTTCAGATAGCAACGGAACTGCTGTGAATTTGTCTGATCCCTTGGTGAAACTTAGAGGACAAAGTGCATACTCACTTTCACAGGTAATGAAACCTGATTTTATAATGACTTAAGAATTTGCAGTTCAATTCTTGAGTTGTTTCACCAATGATTGCTAAATATCTTAAAATTCACTGCCAAAGATTTTAAAAATTGTTTCTTCACTTCATGGCTATTTGTGGGATATCGCTGTGTGCAAATTGGCCTTGACTACAGTTAATCAATCAAAGCAGCCCAAACCCTTGTCATGGCTTTGTCACTTCCTGGCTGGACTATTCCAATACCATCCTTGCTGGTCTCCCCAGCTCCACCACACACAATACACTGTGAAGTACTCCAGGCCGCTACCCCACTTGAAGGGCGCTATATAAATCTTGTTAACGGTAACTACGATGAAGCACTTTGAGTGTTTCTACATCATCAGATGTCATATCAAGTGTAAGGACTTTTATCATTTTATTGGCTAGCTAAGGAGGTGTAATATGTACTTATGTTAAACTGTAGCATAATGTCTATTAATGGACAACAGCAGACAAAAAAATGTAGGTGTCCCACAATTCTATAATTAAGTATTTAAAAATGTGTGAAAATTACAGATGATTTGAATCTACAGCTGCGGACACAGCTGTCAGTAAATGTCAGCAGCAAGTATTTGGTGTTTGATATGTTTCTTCATAATACATTCAGAAGATTCAAAATAACATGGCAGCAAATCGCAAAAGTCTATTATAATCTCAGTCGTCACAAAAAGTGTCAGCTTTTTATAGTGAAATAAGTTGCACAATTTGTTAAGAAAAGAAGTACTAAATAAATACTATCAATCAATCAATCGATCAATCTTCTGTAAATTAATCCTTCGATCAATCAAACCTTTGAATAGATTAAAAATTATTTGCCTAGTTTCATTTTAATTCAACTGCTAGATTAGAATTCCTTTCAACACATGAGAATGTGTAAACTTTTTGTAAATTGGCAAAAGAAGTAGAATTGAATAAATATGTATTCTTTCTTATAGGTTGCACAATCTAAGCTAAGAAACTCGACTGATCGTCATAGTCAGAGTTTGGATGATGTGCGTCTCTACAAGCAGCAACCACCTTTAGGCTCCACTTTGTCTTCAGACACCTCTCAGAGCTACACATTTGGGTATATTCATGAGGACAAAGATAGTCAATTTTGTTATACTTACTCTACAGCAGATTGTAAAACCAAATCCACCTTTTACGGCAAACGTTCAATGAATTGTCTATCCTTGGATCTCCTTGGTGAAGAACAGCTGTTGGAATTTATAGTGTGATGAAATGATAAACAAACACTGGACATGAAGTGCAGTCTGAGTTACAATACTCACGATAAGGCTGGAGAGTGAAGATTCAAGAACGGTTGTGAACCTGAGCTTAATTACTACATACTCAGTCGCTCAGCATATACCTCACTACTCGGAGCCAGAACTGAAGTCTCATTGGATGAAGTTAGCCATAATCACCTGGTTAACTCTGGAAGTTTACTGTACTATATTGTTACATAGTACTATAATGAGTTCAGTGAATATACAATATACTCATTGTACGAGAGCTTATTTCAATTGAATTTCAGTCACAGAGTTAGTAGGAGTATGAGAGTACATTTTATTTTTCTAATAAAAACTTTCAAATTTTGCCTTGCAAAAGTTGTACCTAAGATTACACAAGACCAACACCACTGAAATTAACTGCACCATGTTGTTTGGGAGACACATTCAATGCTCACTGAAGATAATATAGCACACACGCCTTGTGCCACTATGATAAATTAGCATAAGACAATAGGAAACAGTGATATTTATTTTACAATGTTATCTTTTCAAAAGCAAGAACAGAAATCGAAATTAACAGACCAACTTGTGAAAATGCTGTATGATGTTTGGGGGACAGTTGGAGGCAGCAACGGAAAGAAAATCTGTCATGAGGGATGAGGAGGGAAAGGTAAAAGATGAAGAAAGAGCAAGGTGAAAAAATTGTCTTCCCAGTCAAATGGATTGCAAGTAGTCTGGCTAAATTAATGACTGCAATAATGTGGAGATACAGAATTTTTTCTGATATTGGTAGTTTGTAAATAGCATATGGAAATTACATTGGCATTTCACAGAAGATTCCAAAAATAATGCAACAAATTAGGCATATCTATGGTTAAATTGTAGAATAAGGATAAATGCGTATATAAATATCAGTTTATCACCACCTGATGATACATAGATATGGGGAATAGTGCTTAAATCCCTCCATTCCTTGGCACCACCCTATCTCTCTAACCTCTCTCCCCACAGTACCCGCTGCCTCCACTCTACAGGGTCTGGCCTCCTCCATGTCCCTCAAATCCTCTGCTCCACCATCGGCGGCTGTGCCCTCAGCCACTACGCCCCAAAACTTTGGAACGCCCTCCCTCACCCCGTCCTTCCCCATCTTCAGGTTGCGCCTGAAGACCTTCCTCTTCGACCGCGCCTACAATCACCTTCCCCTACCCCTGGTTTGGCCTTGGGCTCCGCCACTTTTAAGTGCTCTGAGACTCCGCCCGACATGGAGGGCGCTATATAAGTGCAAGTTCTTGTTGAATGGCAAATCTCTGAAGGACATTTTTTGTTTTAAAGTTTCAAATCTTTCGCTTCTTTAAAAATGCATTCCTTGCATGGTCACAAAAATGCACATTAGTATTCTACTTAGCAGTACATACATGTACTGTAGCTCTAATGTGCAATACCATACCTGTAATTTATTTCAGTATCATTGCTAATATTTAAAGAATCCATATATATTAAAGATTGAGTGATTAACTACATTTGTTCCCCGCAAGTCAAATATGCCGGTTCTTGCCAAATATCTTTCTTTCTGTCAGTCCTTATTAAATGAAGACATATATTGTTGGATACAATTATTAATATATATTGCCTTCATTATTTGATACAGATACAGTATTGTTACAAAAGATATCATTAACAATACATTTTTATACCTCTTTTGTAGCAATTTGAAAAAAAATGAAATATAGACTGTCCTAAGGATTGTTTAATGCTGAATAAACAATCATTTTTGTATTGTATAGAAGTATTACAGTATTATAATTGATCACTGTGAAAATCAATTATGCAATTGTGGTGTTCATTTTTCTTTGTTAATCAATGAGATAATGCTTTGTCTCGACCTTTGAAACTTCAAACATTTTTAAATAGGACATTTAAATTACACTTTTTATAATATAGTTGTACTTTTTTATTTGTACCTTGTAGAAAATAATCGTGAATCGTGAACTTCTTATTTTATGTCCACTTTCATCCTTTCCATGAAAGGGACTCAACTATTATGCACATAAAATATCCAAATTCGAAACATCCTCATTGATCTTTTATTTTTGGTATCTTGAAATTAATCAAAAAATCATACTTAGTTACAGCTGCTTTGCTTCAGTCTTCATTTTAACTAATGCGCATTCCTTACTTCTTGGAAATGTATTTTGCACAAAAAACCTTAGACGTGAACTGCAGTAAAGCATTTGTTTAAAAATTAATGTAAAATTAGATGGCAGTTACTGCACAAAGCACAATCAGTTAGTCATAATACCATTAGATTTAGTGCATCAACAACTTGCATTTATATTGTGCCATTTACATGTGGTTGTGTCTTGGAGCATTTAACAGTGCAGAGCCTGACGGCGAGCCAGAGGTGACTGTTGGCATGATCGAAGAGGAATGGCTTGAGGTGAGTTCTGAAGACAGGGAAAGAGGAAGAAAGGCAGAGGCTGTAAGGAAGAAAGTTCCACAATTTCGTGTGCAGTGGTTGAAGGCGTGGCCACCAATGGTGGAGCGGAGGGGATGAGGGACGTGCAGGAGGCCAGTCAAGCGAAGGCGGCGGGTCGTGGAGTGGGTTATAAGCCGGTAGGGAGTTTTTTTTTTGGTCAGCTGGGTGTCTCACAGAAGCTGGTACCCATCGCCATGCTTACGAGTATCAACACCAAGACGCGCATCCCACCTACACATGGAAACCCCAGAGATAGATTGCTGGAATGGAATGCAGTCTCTCCCTGGAGGGACGCATCCTGTTTACTAATTGCTTCATACATGAGGCGCAGGTTGGCAAGAGCCAAGGCTTGGGGGGACCCCAGAGTGTGCATTGGGGTACTGCTGCTGGAGTCTAACCAGCTAAAACCGCGAAGCTTGCAAGCTTTCCCCGCTGCATGTCATGCAAGGACCCACCGAGCCGGGAGGGCTTTGGCTTGCGGGGTTAGCAGCAGCGGAGCTGACTGACTCCCTGCCCCAGTGACTGGTCAGTCCCCCCAGGTCCTGCTGATGAGCCCAGACTGGGCAGCACCAGGGAGCCCCTTCAAGGGTCACATCAGCGGGGGCGTGTCTCAAGCATGACGTTCGTGGGAGTGTGCATCATCTGTGACGTCTGTGAGGGGGGGGCGTGGTTCAAGTGTGATGTCAGCGGGGGCGTGTCTCAAGTATGACGGACGTATCACAAGCGCGATGTCAGCGCGGGCGTCTCTCTGTGAGGTCATGCGCGGGGGGGGCGTGTCTCTGTGAGGTCAGCGCGGGAGGGCGTGTCTCTGCGAGGTCAGCGTGGCGCGTGTCTCTGTGAGGTCAGCGCGGGGGGGGCGTGTCTCTGTGAGGTCACGGGGGCGATGCTCAGCCATGGGTCGGGCTGTGTGTGCTGCGTTGCTGCTGTTTGCCCGCGTCGGCCTCATCCATGGCGTGTGGAGGTTGGTAGGTCGATTATTACACATAGAGAGAGAGAGTTTCTGCCGTCAAGGCCGCACTTTGAGAGATGTGTCGACTAAGAACGCGACGTCGACAAATGTGAGCGGATGTGCCACACAAAAGGGGTGAGAGTGGCGCGGCTCAGATCAACACCCGCATTGACAGAAGCTTCCAGAAGGACGATACGCTGTGTTACTGCCTGTGCGGTATATAGACACACATCAAACCTGTGGTATATAGACACACATCACACCTGTGGTATATAGACACACATCACACCTGTGGTATATAGACACACATCACACCTGTGCGGTATATAGACACACATCACACCTGTGCGGTATATGGACACACATCACACCTGTGGTATTTTGACACACATCACACCTGTGGTATTAGACACACATCACACCTGTGGTATATAGACACACATCACACCTGTGGTATATAGACACACATCACACCTGTGGTATATAGACACACATCACACCTGTGGTATATAGACACACCATCACACCTGTGCGGTATATAGACACACATCACACCTGTGGTATATAGACACACATCACACCTGTGGTATATAGACACACATCACACCTGTGGTATATAGACACACATCACACCTGTGGTATATAGACACACATCACACCTGTGGTATATAGACACACATCACACCTGTGGTATATAGACACACATCACACCTGTGGTATATAGACACACATCACACCTGTGGTATATAGACACACATCACACCTGTGGTATATAGACACACATCACACCTGTGGTATATAGACACACATCACACCTGTGGTATATAGACACACATCACACCTGTGGTATATAGACACACATCACACCTGTGGTATATAGACACACATCACACCTGTGGTATATAGACACACATCACACCTGTGCGGTATATGGACACACATCACACATGTGGTATATGGACACACATCACACCTGTGGTATATGGACACACATCACACCTGTGGTATATAGACACACAACACACCTGTGGTATATAGACACACATCACACCTGTGGTATATGGACACACATCACACCTGTGGTATATAGACACACATCACACCTGTGGTATATAGACACACAACACACCTGTGGTATATAGACACACATCACACCTGTGCGGTATATAGACACATATCCCACCAGTGGTAATTAGACACACATCACACCTTTGCGGTATATAGACACACATCACACCTGTGGTATATGGACACACATCACACCTTTGCGGTATATAGACACACATCACACCTGTGGTATATGGACACACATCAAACCTGTGGTATATGGACACACATCACACGTGTGGTATATAGACACACATCACACGTGTGGTATATAGACACACATCACACCTGTGGTATATAGACACACATCACACCTGTGCGGTATATAGACACACATCACACCTGTGGTATATAGACACACATCACACCTGTGGTATATAGACACACATCACACCTGTGCGGTATATAGACACACATCACACCTGTGGTATATAGACACACATCACACCTGTGGTATATAGACACACATCACACCTGTGCGGTATATAGACACACATCACACCTGTGCGGTATATGGACACACATCACACCTGTGGTATTTTGACACACATCACACCTGTGGTATATAGACACACATCACACCTGTGGTATATAGACACACATCACACCTGTGGTATATAGACACACATCACACCTGTGGTATATAGACACACATCACACCTGTGGTATATAGACACACATCACACCTGTGCGGTATATAGACACACATCACACCTGTGCGGTATATAGACACACATCACACTTGTGGTATATAGACACACATCACACCTGTGGTATATAGACACACATCACACCTGTGGTATATAGACACACATCACACCTGTGGTATATAGACACACATCACACCTGTGGTATATAGACACACATCACACCTGTGGGTATATGGACACACATCACACCTGTGGTATATGGACACACATCACACCTGTGGTATATGGACACACATCACACCTGTGGTATATAGACACACAACACACCTGTGGTATATAGACACACATCACACCTGTGGTATATGGACACACATCACACCTGTGGTATATAGACACACATCACACCTGTGGTATATAGACACACAACACACCTGTGGTATATAGACACACATCACACCTGTGGAATATAGACACATATCCCACCAGTAGTAATTAGACACACATCACACCTTTGCGGTATATAGACACACAACACACCTGTGGTATATAGACACACATCACACCTGTGCGGTATATAGACACACATCACACCTGTGGTATATGGACACACATCAAACCTGTGGTATATGGACACACATCACACGTGTGGTATATAGACACACATCACACGTGTGGTATATAGACACACATCACACCTGTGGTATATAGACACACATCACACCTGTGGTATATAGACACACATCACACCTGTGCGGTATATGGACACACATCACACCTGTGGTATATAGACACACATCACACCTGTGGTATATGGACACACATCACACCTGTGGTATATAGCCACACATCACACCTGTGGTATATAGACACACAACACACCTGTGGTATATAGACACACATCACACCTGTGGTATATGGACACACATCACACCTGTGGTATATAGACACACAACACACCTGTGGTATATAGACACACATCACACCTGTGCGGTATATAGACACATATCCCACCAGTGGTAATTAGACACACATCACACCTTTGCGGTATATAGACACACATCACACCTGTGGTATATGGACACACATCACACCTGTGGTATATAGACACACATCACACCTGTGGTATATAGACACACAACACACCTGTGGTATATAGACACACAACTCACCTGTGGTATATAGACACACATCACACCTGTGGTATATAGACACACATCACACCTGTGGTATATGGATACACATCACACCTGTGGTATATAGACACACAACACACCTGTGGTATATGGACACACAACACACCTGTGGTATATGGACACACAACACACCTGTGGTATATGGACACACATCACACCTGTGGTATATAGACACACAACACACCTGTGGAATATAGATACATATCCCACCAGTGGTAATTAGACACACATCACACCTGTGCGGTATATAGACACACATCACACCTGTGCGGTATATAGACACACATCACACCTGTGCGGAATATAGACACACAGCACACCTGTGGAATATAGACACACATCACACCTGTGGTATATAGACACACAACACACCTGTGCGGTATATAGACACACATCACACCTGTGGTATATAGACACACAACACACCTGTGGTATATAGACACACAACACACCTGTGGTATATAGACACACAACACACCTGTGGTATATAGACACACAACACACCTGTGGTATATAGACACACAACACATCTGTGGTATATAGACACACAACACACCTGTGGTATATGGACACACAACACACCTGTGGTATATGGACACACATCACACCTGTGGTATAGGGACACACATCACACCTGTGGTATATAGACACACATCACACCTGTGGAATATAGACACACATCACACCTGTGGAATATAGACACACAACACACCTGTGGTATATAGACACACATCACACCTGTGGAATATAGACACACATCACACCTGTGGAATATAGACACATATCCCACCAGTAGTAATTAGACACACATCACACCTGTGCGGTATATAGACACACATCACACCTGTGGTATATGGACACACATCACACCTGTGGAATATAGACACACATCACACCTGTGGAATATAGACACACATCACACCTGTGGAATATAGACACACATCCCACCTGTGGTAATTAGACACACAACGCACCTGTGGTATATAGACACATATCACACCTGTGGAATATAGACACATATCACACCTGTGGTAATTAGACACACATCACACCTGTGTGGTATATAGACACACATCACACTTGTGGTATATGGACACACATCAAACCTGTGGTATATGGACACACATCACACCTGTGCGGTATATAGACACACATCACACCTGTGTGGTATATAGACACACATCACACCTGTGTGTTATAGACATACATCACACATGTGATATATCGACACCAATCACACATGTATGGTATATAAACACACATGACATCTGTGGTATATAAGCAGACATCACACCTGTGTGATATATAGCCACGCCTCATCACCTGTGTAATGTATAGGCACAAATTGGCACTTGTGTAATGTATACTTTATAGTTTATTATTGTGATCCTTTTTATATCTTTAAGATATTGGACCAATATGGAAGGCAGAGTCTTGTTCGACACACGTAACTCTGTAAGTGCTATTTCAAGATTAGTAGTGATTTAATGTTTTATTAGTAGTGTCTCATTAAACATGAGTTGTAAATAATTCGGAGATATTAACATTTGAGGTTTTTGCTTTCATTGTAAATATATTGGTTTTAATAAAAATAATAAGTGCCCATAACATTATACTTGTATAATTTTAGTAGTTAGTTTTTGGCAGTGCATTTCTTCTTATGTTCAGTAATATTTAACAAAACTAAGTTCACATTAGGCTACTCTTAGAAATGTAGCAGAGAATTTCACTGCTGTTTATAGTGAGTTTGTATGTTTGTGCTACCATCAGCACACTCAGCTGAAGAGTGGGCTCTATTCACCATTTCCAAATTATTTTAAAAAGAAATTGGGGGTTAAGCCGGGTGTCTGACACATGCGGAAACCTATCACCATGCTTAAGAATAACCAAACCATGCTGAGATTTTCATGATTCTCACCTACACGCGGAAATCCCAGAGACACATTGTTGGAATGGAATGCACACTCTCCCTGGAGGGACCCATCCTGCTTACATAACTCCGGATAGTATTAGGTGTAGGTTGGCAAGAGCCAAAGCTTTGGGAACCCAGAGTTTGCGTTGGAGTACTGCTGGAGTCTAACCAGCTAAAAACTGGAGACTAACCAGCCATTGATATTGCTGTCCGGCAAGCTTTCCCACTGCTTGCCCAGCTAGGACCACCATTAGGGCTTTGGCTTGCATGGTTATTAGGAGCTGAGTGGGATGACTCCCTGCCCCCAGTGACTGGTCTTCCCTTCCATGTCCTGCCGTTGAGCCAGGCTGGCTATGCTGTCGTCAGCAGTGCCCTGGAATACTGCGGACCCACCTGGCTCAGGAACCGGAACTATCAAAACTGCCACAGAGGGCTTACATATCACACCGATTTTAAAACTACTTTGTTGAATTGCTTCTTTTACCTGAGTAACCAAGTATAGATTATATAAAGATAAAGAAGTATTGCTGTTATAAATAAGACTCTTTTACAAACTAATATCTTCAATATGAAGGGAAAACCTGGATGTGAACTTGTAACTGAATAAAGAGAAGGAAGCTGAGGATTGAAATGGGAGAAGGTATCAAGTATGCCGCGCCAGGTTTTCATTCTTGAATCCTCTTCTGTTCATAGTATATTGATCTTATTTTTAATATTCAGTGCAAGGTATTCAATTTATTATAATAATCCTTATATTTGATACAACAAATGTAAGGATTATTATTTTCTATTATTGCTATTGTCTTGCAACCTGTTAAAGGTCTTTTTTCAAACCTGAAGAGCACTACGTTATCTAATTCCCTCTAACACTTTGGATAACTCTCCCTGATCTCCTCTGCACTGCCTTTAGGGCCAGGGAAGCTCTTACGCCACATGAGAGGATGCCATAATGAATGTATTCTTGGTGTTCCCTGCACTAGTTCTGGTTTTGGGTGTCATTGCTTGAGCAAGCCTTGATCCCAAGGCAGCTCATTTGGGCTTGGAGGTTAAAGTCTGAATGTCAATGCAAATGCTCCCACCTACATCTTGGGTGCCCATCTAGATTTGTCAAGCACTTTGAGATGTCCTCCTGACATGAAAGGTGCTATATAAATGTAAATCATATTGTACTACAATTTCTGTCTCATAATAAAAATCACCTTGCATTTGATAAAGCACCTTATCACATTGTTGAGATGTCTCAAAGCACTTTATAGTATATACTGTAAAGTGGGTTGACTATTTTGTGACCAAAATGTTTGTAATCACAATATCACAAAACAGTTCAACTCTCAGTCACACAGTGTTAATATTTACCACTATGTTATTATTTACAGATTAATCTGGAATATGAAGGAGACTCTTTCATTCAATGGGTTATTCCAGATTCATGTGTTATCAATTCATTAAGGTAATAGCTGCTAGATAGTGGAAGAAAATATTCTATTTTTGGTCTTGAAAAAAGAGGAAGTGGACAGTCATTGAAAGGTTGTGGTAAATATATTTTTGTTACAATTTTTTTTATATATGCAAAAATATATTTTTGCTACAAAATCAAATAGTCCTATTGATGATTCGCTAACTAAAATGATTTCAATTGCTTAAATTCTTCTCACCTTATATACACAACATTATCAATCTTCTAGAAAACTTTGAATTTTGTATTGTATTGTATTGGAGGCTTGTGTGGGGTATAAAACTTTGGCATGGACAAGTTGGGCTAAATGGCCTGTTTTTCATATTATTTTATGTAATTCCAAGTAATATTATTGGTTGACCAAGAAGTATTTCCTGAGTCACCTATGACTTTTTGAAAGCAGGATAATTTGCTTTAGTTGAGTGTCACACAACACATATTTACCTTCTAGTCAAAGCACTATGATCCTATAATATGACCATTTCCAGGAACTGGAAGCAGTTGTAATGCTTTAGAATAATGCAGTGTTCACATAGAAAGTGGACCAAAGTTGAATCAAAAGTCTAAAAAAAAAGTTTGCATCAATTTAACTAGGTCTTGAAATATTGCAATATTTCTTAGCATTTAGATTCCCGTTACCCTATAATTAGTTTTTCCTTCCCTCATTCAATTGCATAGTCAAAAGAAAGCATCTGTGCAACAGAACACTTTTAAATTTTATGTCTAAGTGCCCAAATCTTTCCTTGTTGTGGGCCATTTTTGAAAACTGGCTCTTTATAATTTAGGCTGCAGTATTATGTTGCATTCACAGTGGAAGTAGAGATCTTAAATGCTGAAGATCTCTTTCCACATCAGACACAAGGCAACATTGTGTTGCCCGGCAAAATAAACTTGCGCAAAAGATTCCTAAGATGACAATTTTTTCTGCATAATGTTTATCCGGAAACATAAGCAAGTGTTTTTATTCAGTAAATTGTGAGTGATAGGTGCTATACCAAATGCGTACATCGTGTCAGCCTGGCTCTCAGAAGGTTGTGAGTTTAAGCGCGATTTGGGATTGCATAATCTAAGATGACACTCCAATGCAGTGCTGGGATTGTTGCATTTAGGAGGTGCTGAATTTGATGAGACGTTAAACAGAGGTCCTGTCTGCCTCTCTTTTTCAGTTGGACATTAAAGATCCCATGGCACTTTCAAAAAGAGAAGGGAGTTTCTCCGGGTGTCCTGGCCAACAATCCCCCAGAAAAAAATTGGTCAATCACTCCATAACTGTTTGTGGGACATTGCTGTGTGCAACTGGCTTCCGCGTCAGTACTCCAGACAAAACAGTAAGCTTGAGAACGCAGCTCAACGTACAAAGCAGAGATCAGCCCCTGCAAATTGAGAAACAATTACACAAAATAGACAGTCAAACCATTTTACAGTGTATCCTGTTGTTGAAATATACCAACTATCACCTCAGGGTGCCTTGGTATGTTTCAAACAGCAAATGAATGTTCCAGAAGGTTTGATAGTTAAATGGTTAAAAGTAGCTTTACCGATGGGTTGGGGTTAGCATCTGATTACACATCATATTTTCCTGGGAAGATGTTCTCTCCTCTGAGATAATGAGCAATCGGGTCCTTGAGCATAGATATAAGAACAATGGACCACAGAAAGGAAAGGCTGCAGCCTCAGACACCTGTCTATCTCAAGGCTGAGAAGCAAGTAGGCTGTGGGAGGCTGCCCAGAAGTTGTCCATATCTGTCTGTGCAAAGCATCCTGCGAAGGGTGGGGGCGATCTCTGTGACGAGGAGGTGGAGTTAGAAACACATAAAAGAAAGATGTAACTTTGAAATAGTTGGAGTTGTGCAGAGGGTCAGCACACTTCCCAGTGTTGATTCTACTGTATCTGTGTATATGTACAGGGGGAGGGAATTTACCTCCAGTAAGAAGGTGACCATTAAAAGTGAAAGAGGATGAATAGTGGGTAATATGTTTTCGGTTCTGTTTGCTAGACAGAGAAGTAATAACAGTAGTGGTGGTTGGTCTGTTTGAAATGCGGACGTCAGGTTAGGCAGCACGAGTGAGGTGCTGGGCTAAGAGCTGATTGTTTCTGTTGAGTTTACAGCAGCCACTCTCTGTGATGTGTGATAGTTCTGTGATTAAGTATTGTTTTTATAGATTGGTTGTGTCCGAGGGTTTACCGGGCACCAGTCCCTATTAAGTTTTGTATTACAGAATCAATTGACCCAGAAATCAGCCCCAGATTTCCGGGGGCTGATTTCTGCTGTGTATGTTGAGGTGTGGTGTTCTCGAGCTTATTGTTTTGTCTGGAGTACAGAACAATTCCTGAGTGCATGCTGTTGTTTCTCAATTATTTGATTTGTATATCTGTGTTGTATGGTGTGGACTATTGTGTTGTTATATGGTTATATGGTTTGAATACAGATTGTTGAACTTTACTGTTTGTCTTATATATATATATTTGATATTAATGGAATAAACAATATACTCTTATCACCGCCTGTCGAATTATTAACACTGTGAAGCGCTTTGAGATGTCTTGACAATGTGATAAGGTGCTATATTAAATGCAAGGATTTTTTTCATCATTTGCTACAGTGCAGTAAAGGATTGAAGATGGTCAGAGAGAAGGTCAGAGAGAGGGATTAAAGGATGGTTATGACAGTGTAGTTCCTGATGGAAGAAGTTATTGGTTAGCAATATAGCCTATTTGTATTTTGCATGATGACCCATTATGCCCATTATTATCAAACCCAGAATGGGGCGAGATCTAATTAGTGCTGCTAGTGGGCCCTGCAGATCAATACTCACCAGTACCTAACTCCAGGTTATACCACCTGAACTCATCAGTACAGTAGAAGCATGACATGTGCACAAATTCAAACTGTAGACATGAAAAAATATGCTTCTCTAACTATGAGTCTGCTTTGTGCCTCTCTTAACTGTGTCTCTTTTTGCTGCTCTAATTGCCTCTCTGCATGAATCCCTTTGTGGTTGTTGGTGTTTCTCTACATTTTTCCAACTGTCATGTCTCTTTCTTGGGGTCCTCTTATAAGGTGCTTTTTAATTTTTATGGATTAGACTTGATTTTTTTCATAAAACTGCTCATACATCAAAATAACTACAGTATCCACATTTATTAGTGACATGGTATATTTTGTTAGGTTATTCCAATATCTTGAGATTTTCTGTAAAAAGATTGTTCATGCAAGTAGGGGAGAGAAAATGAGAAATTATTAATTGAGTGTTTTGAAAATAAAAATATCTAATGATTATTTGTCAATAACGTAATTGTGAAAATTCCTAAATATTTAATTCAATTTCTTGGTCCATAGTAAAGAAAAAAAGAGTTGGAATCTAAGTGGCATTCAAAGTGTAGTCATATATCAGTACTAGTTAAACATAAACATTTGGTTTAGTGCCTTTAATGTTAGGAGCACATCCCAAAGCGCTTCACAGGATTTACTGTGAAGTGCAGTGACTGCGTATTTGTGGGCAAATGCAGCATGCTGCAATGACCCACAAACATGAATTGAATGACCAATTTTATTTGGGGGATTGATTGTTGACCAGCATAACACACATTTGTTGAGGAAATGTAAGGACCATCATAAGTCTGCTACGGTCCTATATGCTGATATTTAAAATAGCTACAAATACATTACTTACTTAGATATTATTGTATGATGTCCTTAGTGAATTACTATCATTAATGTTTGTCTTTTTCTTTTTTTTGCAGAACTCCCAAAGCTGTGTTACATTGCAGTAAAAGTGGAATGCACAAAATTGAGTTACGTTTAAAGAAAAAGGCATGTATTTATTTTTCTCACAATATGTCTGTGTTGTGTAGAATTCTAAATTTGGTTCATGACTCCTTTTTCTCTTCCAGCAGATCAAATTCAAATCCTTGACCTCATATTTTTATTTTTGTCCACTATGTGCAGAAATCTATCACCATTCTTAAGATATCCAAACCATGCTAAGTTCCATGAATGCCACCTGTACATTTATTTTTGGGACACATGCAGAAACCCATTACCAAGCTTAAGAGTATCCAAACCAAACTGAAAATTCCATGCATCCCACCAACAAATGGAGATTCCAAAGAAACATTGTTGAAATGGATCCCTGGAAGGACGCATCCTGCTCTCCTAATTCTGGAAAGCATTAAGCGCAGGTTGGCAGGAGCCAAGGCTTGGGAACCCCTGAGTGTGTCTTTGGTTACTGCTGGATTCTGACCATCTCCAGGAAATTTCCATGTCTGGAAAGGAATGTGCACTTTTTCCCTGGAGAGGGCCCATCCAGCTCACTTAATTCTGGAGCCTATTAGGTGCAGGTTAGCAAGAGCCATATCTTGGGGACCCCAGAGGGTATTGGGGTACATCTGGAGTTCAACCAGCTAAACAACAACAACAATTGTGCCCTCCATGCAGGGTAGCGTCTCTAAAGCGTAAATCCAAAGAGCTTGCTGTTCAAGGCACTGTCTGGCAAGCTTTCTGCTGCCATGACCACCCGAGTGGGAAGAATTATTGCCCTCAGTGACCAGTATGCTTCACTGATGAGCCAGGCTGTCAGATATGTCACAAACAGAATATGGTGGACCCACCTGGATTCTCTGAAACCACCACAATAGCATTGACTCAATACTGATATTCTGTTGACAAGCATATAACCTTGGAGTTGTTTTATGGTTAGCCTGTGATTAATCAAGCAAATGTATTTATTCATGGTTTTATTTTTTCAGACACCGTATGATGAACCACGATATTTTCGCTTTGAGCATGCCATGTTCAGCTTTTTATGGTATATGGTGAAATTACCAGAACCATTTAGGTACGGGTAATGAAAATGATTATTCAAAATGATATACGTTGTTGATTACTTTCTATATTAACTGGCTTAGTTAGTAGCATATTCACCTCTGAGACAGAAGGTTATGGGTTTAAGCATCATGTTGGACTTGAACTCACTTACTTTAGGCTGACACTTCAATAAAGTGCTGGGCTGTTTTGCTTTGTTGGAGTTGCATTCCTTCTGATGAAACATTAAACCAATGTCCAGTCTGACTATTCAGAAAGCAGATTATTCAGTGATAAAGATCCCATGCCACTCCTCAAAAAGAGAATTAATAATAATATAATCCTTGCATTTGATATAGCGCTTTTCACGTCGGGAGGACGTCCCAAAGCGCTTCACAGAACACACTGTAAAGTGAATTGACTGTATATTTGTGGGCGAACGCGGCAGCCAATTGCGCACAGCAATGTCCCACAAACAGTTATAGATTGAAAATGACCAATTTATTATTGTTTTTGGTTTTGGAGGGATTATTATCAGGCGTGTAGAGTAAGGAAACTTGCCCAAGGTTTCGCCCTCTGCCTGGAATTGAACTCAGGTCTCTCACTTGCAAAGCGAGTGCTCTAACCACTGAGCTACAGGACTCCAAATTGGTGTTGAAGTACAGATCAGCCATGATCTAATAGAATGGCGGAACAGGGTCAAGGGCCTGAATAGCCTACTCCTGTTCCTATGTTCCTAGAAGGAAGTTTCCCCCTGTGTTCTGGTCAACAACCCCCAAATAAAATTGGTCATTTAATGATGTTTGGGACATTGTAGAGTGCAATTGGGTTATCGTGTTTGCCTGCAAATGCATGGTCACTCCACAGTAAATCCTGTGAAGTGGTTTAAGAATTCCTCCTGATGTGAAAGGATTTAAACCAAATGCAAGGATTATTATAGTAAATGATTGTGCAGCGTGAGCTACGACATGATGAAATTAAGTTTGGATTTTCATTACTGTGCATTAAATTTAGTTTTCTAGCAGTGTGCATTAAAGTAACAAAAATAGATCTTGACTTTCCTGTTGTTTAAATTTAGAAAGATCGGTACAGAAGATGAGAAATACATAACAAGAGATGTAAGAAAATTATATTGACATTTGAGAATTTTATAACGGGATTATGTAATTAATCAAGCAAATTTATGATTCATGATTTTATTTTTTAGACACCATGCGATATTTTAATTTTCAACATGTCTGAATTCAGAAGTTTATCACCCCATCCTCTCCTGTCCTATCATGTAGACATGATTTGTTATGCGCTCAATATGAGTAAACTACTTGGTACATACCGTTTGCCTGTGATGCTTAGGCAGGAGAAGTGCCTAGGGCCAGGAAGACATGGCTATGCATTGCGGGGTGAAAAGGGCTGTCCAGGATACTACCCTAAGATAAATTGCCTGATAACAATTCTGATTTGGAAGGTTCAAAACAAGTGCGAAGGTGAGACACATGGAACTCTATTTCGTCTGGAAACTCTTAAGCATGGCAATGGGTTTCTACATGTGTCAGATACCCGGCCGACCAAAAATAAAATTAAACTCACTTGTCTACAGTTGTTTGGTTTGTTCCTTCCTCCCTCTTTGAATAATGGAATTACATTTCCTGTCTTCCAATCCTCCAGTACAATTCTTGAATTTATTGAACTTTGAAAAATAAAAATTAAATTGTTGTAAAGAAATAAGGCATTATAAAATGCAATTTCTTTTATCTTGCATGTCTTACGTAAATAACAATATCTATTGTTTAGGCCCTAAGGATATGGATTATAGATCCAGAAAATGCTGTGGTAAGCGAGCTGAACAAAAAAGCCGAATCACCTTGTTTGGTAAGAAAATATTATCCAGATGCATTTAAATTGTATTTAAACCATATTTATTCAATGAGAAGCAGTCCAAAAATGTATTTGGGAACACTCAGCAGGTCTCAACGCTCAACATCTATGGAGAAAGGAAAGTGAGTTACCGTTTCAGGTTGATGAACTTCTGTTTTTCTTTCAGATTTCCAGCCTCTGCAGTATTTTGCCTTTTGTGAAAAATGTATTTATTCATTAATACAATGTAGTTGAGAGTAAGTTGTAATAGGGAATGTAGGGTTTTAATGGGCACGCATGAATAATTCCAATGTTGACACAAAAGGTTTATAATCAATTACAATTTATTAATCAGATTGTCAAACAATAGAAGAACATAATAATAATAATAATAATAATAATAATCCTTGCATTTGATATAGCGCTTTTCACGTCGGGAGGACGTCCCAAAGCGCTTCACAGAATAGACTGTAAAGTGAATTGACTGTATATTTGTGGGCGAACGCGGCAGCCAATTGCGCACAGCAATGTCCCACAAACAGTCGTAGATTGAAAATGACCAATTTATTATTGTTTTATTTTGGAGGGATTATTATTACCCAAACTGTCACATGTATCAATGCTGTTGGGCTCTGTATGAAGCAGGTCAGTATCCAATATTTATTGGATAAAGCAGCCACTTAGTCAGAGAAATCAAGCATTGATCAGATACCTTTTCTCTAGGAGAGTTTGGGCAGTCTGGGCCATCTCCATTTAAACAAATTAAAGATTTTAGGATAAAAAGTATTTGTTATACCCCAAGATCCAGGCACATGAATATTGCATTGCAGAGGTGGAGTTCGAAGTTGGTTCATACAACCATACTGCAAAACTAGTTTGACCAATCACAGCTCAAAGCTGTTTTGTCCAATCATCTTACTGCATAGGATAGGACATACAACATCAGTGTAAGGTATTTACTAGTGAGCGGATTCAAAGGTAAAACCAACAATTCTCACCGTAATAGACACATTATTATGAGTGTGCCATATTATTAGAGTATTTATGACCGTAAGAGTAGAGTCTTGTAGCGTAGTGGTTAGCCAATCGCCTCGCAAGTGAGAGAACCCCGGTTCAATTCCCGGGCAGTGTGAAACCTCAGGCAAGTTTCCTTACTGCACACACCTCTGTTTGCCTAGCAGTAAGTAGGAACCCGGTTGTTAGTAGAATGGCGGATCGCTTTCCTGGGGTAATAATCCATTTTTAAAAAAAAATATTTGGTCACTCAATCTACGACTGTCCGCATTTGCTGCTGGGTTTCGCCCTCAAAATATGGTCACTTGATTTTACAGTATATTCTGTGAAGCGCTTTGAGATGTATCTACAATGTGATAATGTGCTATATCAAATGCAACGATTATTATTATGACGTTTCTTGGCCATAAACAAAATTCTTATAATGGGTTAAAGTTTGGTTAAAGACATTCTGATGCCTTTGCCTTGATTAGCCAGGCTGTAAGCACTGAGATGAGAACCACTTGCGAATCACATGCCAATCACAACACGGTCATCCAATTAACGAGATACGTATTTGATTCTGTTGAGTGACTTAAGACCTAACCTATATTCCTACAGGTATCTCGGGTACTCACCAAGGAGTTTTATAGTCTTGGACAAGAGCTAATTCTAACAATGAATCCTACTTCTCATATTTATAAGTCAATATTCAAATATAAAAAAGGGTATGTATTTAGAAAAGACGATTATAAGTGATAATTATGGTTTTGATAATTTTGTTCTTAGTTGGTAGTACTCTTGTCTCTGAGTTACATGGTGGTATATGCCCCACCCTCCCTCTGTGACCTCCTAACCCCCTACCAACCCGCCCGTTCCCTCCGCTCAGCCGGCTCCAGCCTGCTCCACGTCCCCCAACCCACCCGACCCACCATTGGTGGGAGAGCCTTCAGCCACTCTGCCCCCAACCTCTGGAATTCCATTCCTCCAGTCACTCCGCCTCGCCCCCTCTTTAGCCTCCTTCAAATCTCGCCTCAAGACCCTCCTATTCGACCATGCCATCGGTCACCCCCCTCTCCTCCCTTAACCCCCCACCCCAGCTCGGGTCTGAAATGCAGTACTCTGTCCAGCGCCTTGGGATGTCCTCCCAATGTGAAAGGCACTATACAAATGTAATCTTGTTGGTGGTGGTGGTGGTCGTGGGTTCAAGCCCCACGTCGGGATTTAGAACTCATATAAGCTAAGGTGGCACAGGCACTATACCAAAAACGTGAAAGATGCTATACCAAATGTAAGCATGATTATAATTGGTAAAATATCTTTTATGTTTTGTTACTTACTAACTGTTCTCTAGTGTCTAGACCATCAAGATGCTCTCATAGCATTTTAACAGAAATTCTTACTAATTTCTTCAAATTTTACATACGAATAAGAATTGTCATAACATTGATATAAGAACATCAGAATCTGGGAATAAAAAATTGGTCTATCAATTTCTCTGCAGAGCCACTCTCACCATTTCCTTCCATTTTCTGTCTCAAGCTGTTACTTTCCAGTTGGAAATGTTCCAAATCCTTTTTTATAAGATTGGTTTGGTTGAAAAAGGCTATGCTGATCGCATTCTTCCAGAATAACCACCAACTGCTCTCCCATCACTGCAACAAGCTGCTTTGTAAATGAGTCCAGTGTGCTGGCCTAAACCACCCTTCTTGCTAACCGGTGCCAATTACCCTCTGAATAAAGATCTATGTATACTGGAATTGCCCTTTGCAAATCTAGACCATGACCTTTTGTTCTACGGTTTTGGTGTGTCTTAAAGTATTCTGGGTTTATTTTACCATCCCATTTAGCATTGCATAATGTCCCCTCTGAGATGTCTCTTTTCAAGACTGAAGAGCCCTAGCTAGTCTAATCATTGCTCATGGCAGATTTGTCATGGCAGAAAAAATATGGATATTGTAATTTTTCTGTTTGTCTCTAACAAATGTGTATTTCCCGCATTAACCTTGAGTTGTCCGTGACAAAATCTGCTGTTCTGTGCACCTCTCGCATTAAATTGAACTTGAGCAGGGAAGTGTCAGCTATGTTTGAGCATGTGCCAGTCTCTCAAGGTCTCTGCGGGAAATTCAAACCATTCGCACAGATATGTGCACGCAGTCAGGCTGCTTCCCATGCTCACAGGTAAGGTTTTTTTCACATCCCAGTTTAGACATTGGAAATGTTGAGAGATATGAAGAGGCATAGTTGAATTTTCATATCTGACTTCGCCTAACATTTCCTTGTAAACCCATGACATTTACTAAATTTAATGTAATTGCTCCGTGATTTTTGACAAAAAAAAGGCTGGGCCAAATCTCCAGTCACACTCGTAACTCATCCTTGTTGCTTTCCTCTGCACCGCCTTTAGGGCCTGGGAGCTGCAGTGACCCATTTTCTGTACTATAGGTGTGGCCCGATATCTCAAAGTTTTCACAAGATTTACTATAAAGTAGAGCAAAATCTATTTGCAGGCAAACGTGGCAACTGATTTGCACACAGCAATTTTCTCACAAACAGCCATGAATGATTGGATGACCAATTTTGTCTGGGCAATTGTTGGTGAGGACACCAGGATAAACTGTCTTCACTTTGAATAGTGCCATGGGATCTGAAGAGGCAGAAGACCTCTCATCTGAAGGATGCCACCTCTGACAATACAGTACTTGCTCAACACTGCATCGGGATTGTCAGCATGGACTGTGTGAGTTCAGAGTCCTGACTTAGTCTAACTTGTGGTTTGAACCAACAACCTTCTGACTCTGAGGTGAGAGTGCTACCACCTTAGCTAGGCTGACCCTTCTGCCTAGTTTGTAAACTCAATTCAGTTCTATCTGACCCTGATGGCTTCTATACCTGTTTTTGGCCCTTTTTTTGGCCCTTTTTGTGGTTCCACCACAACCCGACTCCTCCGTCCCCCCCGCCATCCCGCGCTGGTTATCTCCTCCAACCTTCACTGCGAGGAGATGCTGGATTTCCTTGAATCCAAGATCAAGGGAATTCGCTCCGCGGTCACTTCCCCTCCAACATCCACCAACCCCCCACCCCCTCACTCCCACACTCCGACTGCTACCCATCCTCCCCTACTCACTTTTGTACCCGTTTCCCCACCCTCGGTCACGAAACTCATCCTATCCCTAAAACCAACCACCTGCTCCCTTGACCCCATCCCCACTCCACTCCTTATCTCCCAGCTCCACTTTCTTGCCCCACATATCTCCGACATCATCAACCTGTCCCTCTCCTCTGGCTCTGTCCCCATTCCCATAAAAACTGCCACCATCACGCCCACCCTGAAAAAACCCTCCCTTGATGCGTCGCAGCTATCAAGCTACCGGCCCATCTCCAACCTCCCCTTTCTCTCCAAGGTCCTGGAAAGAGTTGTCGCCTCCCAACTGCGCTCTTTCCTTTCCACCCATTCTCTTTTCGAACCCCTTCAGTCAGGTTTCCGTGCTGCCCATAGCACAGAAACTGCCCTGGTCAAGGTCACCAATGATATCCTGACCATCTGTGACCAGGGCTCCCTCTGCCTCCTCGTCCTCCTCGACCTATCGGCAGCATTCGATACGGTCGACCACGCTATCCTACTCCACCGCTTGTCCTCCCACCTCAACCTTCAAGGCACTGTCCTTGAGTGGTTTAGGTCGTACCTTTCTCACCGTCTTCACTTTGTCTCGACGAATGGCTTCTCCTCCACCCCCCGTACTGTCTCATGTGGAGTCCCTCAGGGCTCTGTCCTCGGTCCCCTCCTCTTCACCCTCTATATGCTCCCCCTTGGTGACATCATCCGCAGACATGGGGTTAACTTCCACATGTACGCGGATGACACCCAACTCTACCTTTCCTCCTCTACTCTCAACTCCATGACCACCGATGTCTGACATCGAGTCCTGGACGAGAGACAACTTTCTTCAGCTCAACGTGCGAAAAACCGAGGCCCTCCTGATTGGTTCGCGTCAGCGCCTCCGCACCTCAGGCGCTGACACCATCAGCATCCAAGGCTGCACTCTCCACCTCTCAAAGCCAGTCAGGAACCTCGGCGTTTTGTTCGACCCTGAGCTGTCCTTTCTCCCTCACATCCGCACCACAACTGGCACCGCCTTCCATCACCTCCGGAACATCGCCAGACTACGCATTACCTCACCCCTCACGCTGCTGAAACTCTGGTTCACGCCTTTGTCACCTCAAGGCTGGACTATGGGAACTCTCTCCTCGCCGGCCTTCCCGCCACCTCCCTCCACAAGCTGCAGGTCATTCAGAACTCTGCAGCTCGTGTACTGTCCCGCACCAGGCTTCGGGACCACATCACTCCCACCCTCGCTCGCCTCCACTGGCTCCCCATCCCCCAGAGGATTGATTTCAAGATCCTCATCCTCACCTACAAGGCCATTCACGGCCTTGCTCCCTCCTACCTCTCCAACCTACTATCCCCCTACCTACCTGCCCGTACCCTCCGTTCCTCCGGCTCCGGTCTGCTCCACGTCCCCCGCCCCAATCGCCCTACCGTTGGTGGTCGGGCCTTCAGCCTCTCAGCCCCGAGGCTCTGGAACTCTATCCCCCAGTGCCTTCGCCGCCTCCTCCCTCTCCTCCTTCAAGGCCGGTCTCAAAACCTTTCTCTTTGACCGAGCCTTCAGCTCCCCTCTCGACTCTCTTCCCCCTCCTCGCTCCCTCCCTTCTCTCCCCTCACCCTGACCATTTCCCCCCTCCTCGCTCCCTCCCCTCCCCTCACCCTGACTATTTCCCCCCTCCTCGCTCCCTCCCCTCCCCTCACCCTGACCATTTCCCCTCTGCTCGGGTCATGACCCAACTGTGCAGCGCCTTGGGACGTCCTCCTGACGTGAAAGGTGCTTTATAAATGGAATCTTGTTGTTGTTGTCTTGTTGTTGTTCTGGTTGGTTAACCTATACAGTCATCTTTGTTTTTAGTTTGATTGGCTGGTGGAAGGAATAACATCAGAACAAGTCAGTGTTTACTACTACAAAAACAACTTGCATTTATAAAGCGCCCTTCATGTGTGGTATAGTCTTGGAGCATTTCTATATTCTCCCCATCAGCTCAATGGAACACTATACTTTGAATTATACTTTTTATCTGCAAAAATACCCGACACTAAACTTTAAATTAATCCTGTGAAGCACTTTGAGACATATTTCCAATGGGAAAGGTAGTATATCAAATGCAAGGAATATTGTTGTAAATAATAATAATCCATCACCAAAATATAAGAATTGACATAATTAGCAGAAATGGGCAGGACTTTTTCATGACCTATGAGCATGGGATTTGTGTTTGTGATACAAATGTATTGGTCACCAAATCATGAGTTGAGATCTAAACATGTTTCTGTTTTTTACAACAGGTACTGGAAAGTTGATATCTACAATATAACCAAAGAGATCATTCTTACAATTAGTGGAAAACCTGTGATCTTTGAAGATTTATTTATCAAGGATTCATTCTACAGCCTTGAAAACAGTGGAACAATGGGTGAGGTGAAAAAAGGCGGATATCTTGCCCTGAAGCAGTTTCCAGGCAGAAATCCACTGCTTATATACCATCCCTGTTCTGATAGCTGCAGCTTAATTTTGACAGAATTTGGAACATTTTTAACCAACGATCGTTTTATTACTTCGGAGGAGCTAAAAATTGTGCCCACTGATTTAAAGCCATTGAATTTGCAGGAAGTAAGAGCAGCTGCTTTTCTCGAGAGTGATATTTTATTTCTTGTTGGAGATGCAGTTTACCTGAGACGCCCAAAAGGTTTTTATTTGCAACTTGGACCTGAGAGTGGTCTGCCTACGGAAGGGTTAATTGGCCTCTTGGGTAGATCGCATTGTGATGCTGTGTATCCATTGAAGGCAAGTTTATGCAAATCATTCACTTAGACGTAAAATGTGTTTTTCCACAGTGCTTTAATGGTCTATGGTGCTCTCTGCTCCATTGCAATAGGATGCAAGTGAAAAATGTATATGTCAATTTGTTCCGGATTGAGAAGTTGCTCCAATAGTAGAGTGTGTGAGAGAGAATAATTGAGAGAGAGAATGTGTGAGAGAGGAAAAGAGAGTGCATTCAAGAGCGTGTGATTGAGAGAGAGGGTTAAGTGATTGAGAGAGAGAAACAGGGAGTGAAAGAGCAGAGAGAGAGAGAGAGAAACAGTGATAGAGAGCAGAGAGAGAGAGAGGGAAGTAAGGGCACCTTTTGTGGTTCACGGTCAGCGAAGATGATTAGAACCTCTCCTGGCTGCCTTGGGGGGACCAAGGACAGAAACCAAGCAACGTGCCATGCTGTGCAGTTTCATCACAAAAGCTCTGCTTTCCCTAGTGAGAAATTCCTCTACAGACATCCCCACCCTAGCTCTGCAACCTCGTGACCTGGCCGTTTCCCTTTGCCCAGCAAACAGCAGCTTGCGTTATATCTCCCCACTTGTCTGCCCCACCATCACCATTTTATCCCCGTTCTCTCGAACGCCATTCCCTCCGATTTGCTCCCTCCTTCTTTCGAGCCACGTGAAGACCTAACTCTTTGACTGCACTTTCGGTCATCTTTTCCCCTCGCCATCTCTCCTCCCTCAGTTCCCAGCCCCCTCAGTTCCCACCCCCAACTTGGGTGCCCAGCCGGCAGTCTCAAGTGCTTTGAGACTTCCTTCCGACATGAATAAAGCTCTGTGTAAATGTTATGTTTCTGGAAGGGAAACACAAAAATATTGCTATGCAGCCCACAGAGGTTTGTCAAATAGGGCATCCGGCCCTCAGCAGTCAAAAGGTTTGATCACCTTGATTTAACCTGTGAGTAATTTTATTAAATGTGATTTCTTTTCAATTTATTTACAGGCCGGAAAAAAAGTTTTGATTGCAGTGTTAGTATGGAGTCGGAATTCAATATATGTTGGAAACATAAATGCTACCTTTACCAGATTTAATGAACTCAAACAGTCGTTATCTATTCTGAATATGCCACTGGATTCTAACATAGACATTGTAACAGTGGCATTTGCTTCACGCCCTGTTGAATTTTCAATTCTTATACAGGCTGTTTATCAAGATTATAAAAGATTGATGTTAATCATTGTCAATGATGAAGAGAACAGATGGATATTATCTGCCATGTTCTCCAAACTTGTTAATGACTCTCTGCCTTTGAATCCTCTTCACATGGAATTTATTTCATCAGCTTTGTCATCTGTGTTTGTTTGGAACAATAATACAATATTTTATAACCTCCATGACGATAAGAAGAATGGAAAGATGCATGTAAATCTTGACGAGAATATAAGCCATGCAGCAGAAGGAAGCATTATCGAGCAATTGGTTATTGGTTAAGTACCGTATTTTTATTCATGTAATTATTTTATAATAATACTGATATTGGATATAGTGCCTGAACAGCTATGAAATGGGTGATTCTTGTCCAGGTCACCGGGAAAAGCTTTCTTCACTTTTCGAATAGTGCCATGGGATCTTTAATGTCCACCTGATCAGGCAGACTGATCGTGTTTATTCTCCCCGCTTCAAGTATTTGGATGAAAACTCCTCAATCTGCTGGCACCAAAGGACAATTCCACCTACTATCTTGTTGCAAGAGACAGGCAGTCATTGCCCTTATGTGAGTGACTCAAGTGGTTCATTGTTATCATTTGGTATTCTTTTGCCGTCCAGTAGAACAAAGGCTCTTTGGTTTAGCTACCCACAAATCTTCGTTGTTCGATACCTGGACCAAAATCAACCCTCTTATATACAGTGGAAGCCGCTTAAGGCAGACACATCGGGGCTAGTCAGTTTGTTCGGCTTAAGCGGTGTCTGAGGTTAATCGAAGTTCTCTTACCTCTTCCTGCCCAGCAGAGGAGTGGCGGCCTCCTCCTTCCTATTGCTGTTGGATGGGAAGGGGACCAATTAGCAACAGCTCCGAGGTGACTGATAGCCTGAAGCAGTTTGTAAATGGATGGGCATTCCATCCATTCACAAGCGGCTCCAGCTGTCAATGAATTGCAATTTTACTCCTCCCATTCTGTCCCTTGTTTCTTCCCCATTCCTCCGCCCCCTTCACTAATTGACAGCCCAGAGCTGCTTGTGAATGTCAATCCATTGCAATTTGACACCCCTATCTCCATTCCGGAGCCACTTGGGACACAATAATAATAATAATAATAATCCTTGCATTTGATATAGCGCTTTTCATGTCGGGAGGATGTCCCAAAGCGCTTCACAGAACAGAAGGCACAAATGAGCATGGCATTTTGTCCAGATTAACCAGATTTTAACCAGCATATTTAAAACAGGTAAAAATACAAATGAATTGGGCCGAGAGTTTTGTCCGATTTACCTAGCATCCAGCATTAACCAGCATCTGGCTAAAGTGGCTTCCACTGTACTTGAATTGAGCTGCTATGGTCGCTGATTGAAGTGGCATTTTAAATACATGAGTAATATGAATTCAAAGTCATGACCCTCAAACTTTGCTATATCAGAGGTGAGAGTACTACCAACTGAGCCAAGTTGACACACGTGAATAAATGTAGTAATAATAATTTAGAAAATGTTAATAAAATAAAGAAATAAAAATTTTAGCAACATTAGGAAAGAAAACAAGTCAAGAGATCATTCAGATCATCAATCTAATCCTTCCAAAGATGAGGAAAAGCATAAGCAATTACAGACCCATTCCATTTTCCTCTTATGTGAGATTGCAGTTGAAGTGCTTTGAGATGTCTTGATAATGTGATAAAGCGCAATATCAAATGCAAGAATTATTATTGTAAGTTAAACTTAAAAGTTCTTTCCTTGCCCAATCCCCCCACAAAATTGTCCATGGCTGTTAGTGGGACGTTGCTGAGTGCAAATCAGCTGCTGTGTTTGCTATCAAATGGTATTAAATGAGGGTGCTATAAAAATGGAAATTGTAATATTGCCTATATATCAATATGGGTAATATTATTACAGTATTGTAACCACGCATCCCCACCCCCACCAAGCCAGGCAGATACGGACAGAGTTTAAATCGTACAGGTTTATTCGAGCAGAGGGTATACCTCCACAGCCCAGTAGTGACATGGCATGCCACACTCCTTACATAGCACAATCCTGGAGGGCTGCAGACACCTGGGTTTGCAGTTGGATGCACATGACTGCACCATCCCCCCTCCGCCCGCCTGCCTTATACCATACCTCAGCCAGCCATGTGGCCTAGACTTCAGGCCTCTTCGTATCGCCTGGCCTTGCTGGGTCAATACCTCCTTCCTGCTTGATCACCCCATTCAGCAGCCACAGACCTTCCCTCTGGACGTACTGTTCTGGTTCCTGCAACATAAGGAAGCCACCCAAATCCAGGGGCGTTTCTCACTCGCACTTCCCAATGTCTGTTACAGTATTATAATCTATGGCATGTTTTCTATCATTTCAGATAGTAACTTGAATATTATCATTAAGATGAGCAACAATATGCTGCTACATGGTGTAGTTGGCTCAGATGAACTGGTGAGGCTACATGTGTGGGAGAGAGAAGATGCAAAAGTTACCTTGTACTTAACCCTTCTGGATCAGCTTTATATGATTAAAGTAGAAGATTTCAAAATCCGACCAACCTTGTACCCTCTCAGTATGGAAAAAATTAGTTCCTCATTGCAGACAAAATCACCTCCGTGCCCATTCATCTACTTCCACCACAACAAAAAATCACCTATATACAATATGGACATGACAGAAGAGCTGACATTCTGGGCTCAAATCATCTACGCAGACAATTTTGGAGTAGAAGTAGAAGCTTTGATTTTAAATCACAAGCTTCTTGAACTAAACTATCAAATTAACTATCAATTGCATGGAAGATTTTATGTAAACAATAAGGTACGTACATGACTGTTAAGAAATTGGTGGGGTGTAACTGCTGGTCGGTAAATTTAAGCACTTTGCTTTCCCTTATGGAGAATCCTATGAAAGTGCACAACACTGAGATGGGTAACTAACGGGCACCAAAAATGTGCGTCTTCTACAGCCCGAGCGTTCAGGTGATGGTGGATAATAAAGGGAACAATTTGCACGTCAATAGCCGCTTCTCGGGGCCTGCACATGACTCATATTTTGAGGAATTCTCAATGGGGTAAACTTCTATATCTATGTGGATGATACATTAGAATACATCAGAATATACAGCACAGAAACAGGCCATTCGGCCCAACTGGTCTATGCTGGTGTTTATGCTCCACATGAGCCTCCTCCTGCCCTTCCTCAACTAAGTCTTCAAGCATAACCTTCTATTCCTTTCTCCCTGATGTATCTATCTAGCTTCCCCTTAAATACATCTATACGCTATATGCCTCAACAACTCCTTGTGGTAGCATGTTCCATATTCCCACTATTCTGTGTAAAGAAATTTCTTCTAACTTCCTTATTTGATTAAATATTAAATTCCATCCCCCAATCACTCCGCCTCGCCCCCTCCTTAGACTCAAGTCTCACTTCAAAACCCTCCTTTTCAACCATGCCATTGGTCACCCCCTTCCCCTCCTCTCCCTTCTCCCTCCCTGACCCCAGCTCGTGCCTGAAATGCTGTACACTGTCCAGTGCCTTGGGACGTCCTCCTGACGTGAAAGGCGCTATACAAATGTAATCTTGTTGTTGTTGTTGGATCTATTTGTGACTATTTATATTGATGGCCCTTGGTTTGGGTCTCCCCCACAAGTGGAAACATCTTCTCTAAGTCTACCTTATCAAAACATAACATAATATAACATGTAGGAGCAAGAGTAGGCCATTCGGCCCTTCGAGCCTGCCCCGCCATTCAATCATGGCTGATCTTCTATTCTAACTTCAGCTAATAACCTGACCCTGCCTTATCCCCATATCCCTTAATCCCTTTTGCAATAAGAAATCTATCTGTCTCAGTCTTGAATATGTTCAAGGAAAACCTTTCATCATTTTAAAGACCTCTTATCAGGTCACTCCTTACCCTCCTCTTTTCAAGAGAAAAGAGTCCAAGCATGTTCAGCCTTTCCTGAATGATATAACCTTGTGAATCTCCTTTGCACACTCTCCAGTGCCTCTACATCCCTTCTATAATGCGGGGACCAGAACTGCACACAGTATTCTAAGTGTGGTCTAACTAAAGTTCTATAGAGGTTTACCATAACTTCCCTGCTTTTCATTTCTATCCCTCTAGAAATGAACCCCACGTATCAGCTTGTCTGTCAGTCATCAAGGCCTGGATGAACGCAAACTTCCTGCAGCTGAACATCAACAAGACAGAAGCCATACTCTGGCTCCCGTCAATGTCTTCCTTCCTGCGGCTCTGACCTCCTCAACCTCCCTGGCTTACCCTAAGACTTACTGAACCCGAACGTAACCTGGGCATCAAGTTTGAGCCCCTGCTGCCCTTCCTTCCCCCACATCTGATCCCTAACCAAGACCACTTTCCTCCATCTCTGTCACATTGACCGCCTTGGACCGTACCTCACCCCCTCTGCTGCCCGTATTCTCACCCACTCTAAACTCCATGCCCCCAACACACCAGCCCTCGCCAGGCTCCACTGGCTCCCTATCACAGAATGGATTAATTTGACGATCGTCTCACTCGTCTACCTGGCATCTCCCTTTCTTTCTGACCTGATTTCTCCTTACTCCACTACCCACAGGCTGACCTTCTAGTTTGTCCCTCATCTCCTCTGCTCCACCAACATCGGCTACACTTCCAGCTACTGAGCCCCGAAGCTTTGGAACTCTCTCCCCCAATTCCCTCCACCTTGCCCCCTCCTTCCTCTCTTTAGGACCATGACTGATATTCTTCCTCTTCGACTGCTTACGGTCACCTCCTCCCTCCCCCGGCTCGGTGTCAAGCTCCGCCACTCTTAAGCACTTCAAGACACTTCTCAAAAGAAAATTGGATCATCAGCCAACGTCAGTCACCCACAACTATTGGATGGCAGAGTCCTGTATAGCGCAAGTTTTGAAAGAGACCTATTTATATGTTGTTACTCTCAAAATGATGTTTCTTTAAGAAAACCCAACCAAAACACATAGAAATTTAAAGATCCTTGAATAGATTGAAGAGCACAGCTGTATTTCCCCTCCCCACGCCCCCAAAAAAACCGCGAATCAAACAAACAGGATTTTTGCATGTAAGTTTACCCACTTCCTCTTATTTTTTGCCCCAAATTATATCACAAATGTTTTCCTCGTCTTGCAAGTGTACGGACCCCATAGGTTTCAAAGGAGAGTAATAGACATGTTCAAATCCCATCTTTCCTCATGTTCCTGTACTACTACAAAAGCTGAAGAAATCAAAAGAAAATTGGATCATCAGCCAACGTCAGTCACCCACAACTATTGGATGGCAGAGTCCTGTAGCTCAGTGATTAGTGCACTCGGCTCGCAAGCGAGAGGACCTGGGTTTGATTCCTGGCAGGGGTAATGTTGGGCAAGTTTTTTTACTCCACTCGCCTCTGTTTACCTAGTAGTAAGTAGGTACCCAGTTGTTAGTCAATTGGCGGACACGTTTCCAGCAGTAATAATCCCTTAAAAAAAATTGGTCACTCAATCTATGACTGTGGGACACTGATGTGCGCAATTGGCTGCCGCATTTCACCCACAAAACATACATTCACTTTACAACATATTCTGTGAAGTGCTTTCAGACTTCTCAAAGACATGATATATCAAATGCAAGGATTATTTTATGCAAAATGCAAAAGGGCTACAGTGATAACCAAAAACGTCTTCTATCAGGAATTACAGTCAAAACCATTGTTTATTTCCCCCTCCCTCTCTCTCTCTCTCTCTCTCTCTCTCTCTCTGACCTCTCTGCCCATCTCCAATTCTATGCTGCAATGTAGCAAATAAATAAAAATAAATAATAATTAAGGATTATTATTATTTGGCACATAAAGATCCACTACTATTTGGCACAGATACAGTTAATAATAATAATCCTTGCATTTGATATAGCACTTTTCACGTCTTCTAGACGTCCCAAAGCGCTTCACAGAATATACTGTAAAGTGAATTAACTGTATATTTGTGGGCAAACGCGGCAGCCAATTGCGCACAGCAATGTCCCAGAAACAGTCATGGATTGAAAATGACCAATTTATTATTGTTTTGTTTTTTGGAGGGATTATTATTAGGCTCTGTGTGGAGTAAGGAAACTTGCCCAAGGTTTCGCCCTCTGCCTGGAATTGAACTCAGGTCTCTCACTTGCAAAGCGAGTGCTCTAACCACTGAGCTACAGGACTCCACAGTTTGGAGGAGGAGGACGTGATAAGGCGCTATATCAAATGCAAGGATTATTATTATTATTCCTATTCTAGAACATTACAGTTATGTTGTGAAGTTCCGTGTCTGTCTGAGAGCCTTATCATCCAGAACTAAAAGCAGAATACTGAAAGAAATATGCTTTTTTTCAGACAATTACCCTGACTCACAACAAAGATTACAGAAAAGCAAAAAATTATATGGCAGCAATGTAAGTAACAGAATTTTTTTTGCGAATGGAGATTTATGTAGGACTAAACATACCTGAAAAGTGGGAATTCACTGGATAGTTATCATAGGATCTCAAGCGATTTAGGTATGGAAAAGGCCCAATCGATATCACGCTTTCAGAATACCCAATCTACCTTCCTTCCATAAAGTAACTTGAATTGATATGTTCAACCTCTTGTTGCTGAGAACTGGCTCTATCATTTATAATGTTGATAAGAGTATACTATTGCAGTAGTTTGCATGCACTGCTACCATGGTACAGAAGTGGGCTGCTCAAGCCCAAAGAAGGGAGACAGAAGTAGATCCGTGTGAATAGCAAGATTGACAAAAAAAAACTGTCAATGCATTAATCAGGTTGCCCACTGCAATGTCCCGTAAACAGCATTAAAATTAATAACTAGGTTTTTATTGAGTATTGTTGGTCAAGATACCATTTTGAAAAATGCGATAGTGCAATGTCCACCTGAAAAAGCTGTTGGAGCCTCATAACGTTTCATTCAAAGAACAGCAATCCTAAGATACAGCGTTCCCCCAATATTGTATTGGAGTATCAGCCTACCTAGACTATAAGCTCAAAGCCTCTGCATGAGGCTTGAATTCATAATCTGACTCACAGATGAGAATGTTTCAAACTGAGCCAGGTTATAAAGGGTTATTGTAAAATAAAGAGTTATAGGCTATTTCCACTGTTTGGTGAGCCAGTAAGAAATTGTCACATATTTAAGATAATCACAAAATAGAATTGAATAGGAAGTTAAAAAAATGTTTTACTACAGAGGGTCGTTGAAATATTGAATTCTCTGCTACAAGAACCAGAGTCCAGAAGCAGATTTTTAAAAAAAAAGCCCAATGTAAAAAAAATTTCCATTGTAATGTCTCAGTTCCTGGTCCCCAGTCGCGTCTTGCTTGGGGTTCAGTTCCACGGGTGCTAGACACTTTCTGGTACCCAATCCAAGTGGTTATTGTTCGTGTGTGAGTGGTGGCAGTGATTGTTGGCAGATCACTCAACTGTAGAGTTTAGCACAGTTAAGGCTGACCCACATGACTGATACACACATACACTGCCAATAGAGAGTGCTGGAGAGGGACAAGAAGAAGGAACCCAGTCTGATTTAACCCTTCCTAACCCGGGCAGGCCAGAGCCATTTTAACTTCCCCATGCAATTCCAGCTAAGACCAGCCAACTCAGCATGACCTGGGATTCAAACCAGCAAGCTCCTGGCTTCTAAGCTGGAGTTCTATCCACTATACTGTCAGGATTGTCCAATATATTATTTCAAAGGGAATTATATAAATGTTTGAAGAAGAGGCATACTAAAGGTATGGGGAGCATTAGATTGGAGGAGGATGGCATTAGATTGGATTGTGTGAAGAAAAGTACTGCTTAATGAGCCAAGTATCTGATTCTGTGATGTAACAATTTATGATTCCTCAGTTTATTTGACTAAGAAACAAATGGCAAAACAGTTGCGGTAGCCGAATGGCTGTGTTAATTCTCTGTGACAGAAGATAGAGGAGAGAGGAAGATGGCCAAAATGGTTGTTGAATAAATAGGTCTTAAGGTGGGTTTCGAAAGCAAGGGGACAGACAGCAGACAGGGACTCAAGATGAAGTTCCAGCGAGTGGGTGTAAAATGATTGAAAACTCATCTGCTGATGGTGGGATGGATCGGACAAGGGCCATAAGTCAGGCTGATGTTTGCTGAGCTGTTCAAGTAGCCTGGCTGTAAGGTTGCAGGAGGTTGCAGAGGCAGAGTTGTGATATATAGTGTTTAATTATCATTATTAAAAGTACTGCAAGCTACATTATTTTAAATAAGAATTGTATGATTTATCATTCCAGAAAATCAACAAGTGGAGTTTTAACTTTGGAATTCCAGCCTTCTATGGTTTCAAGTTCTTGCATAATTTCATCTAACACAGTATGCATTCATTATTTTACTTACATTAAATACATTGGTGTTTAAGATAGTCATGTACTAAGTAAAATAGTTCAATGTGTTCAATTACCTACTTTTGTTCTCTTCTGCACAAGAATTTTTTAAGATACTCATCCCAAGATGGTTCAAATCATTGAGGGTCTCTCCAATGCACGACAGTGCAATCTTTTCTAGTTTTATTTTCCAAACCATACCTTTCATTTTTCCAAATCTGGACTACTGCTCACTCCCCATATTATAAAACGTAATATGCTGAAAGCTTCAACAAATGGCTTCCTCTCCTGCAATTGGTTAATGCACAGTCAGTGATTAGATGGCATCAATTTAAGTTACTCTTATGATAAGGAAAGGAAGATTACCTACATGTAGGCTCTTCTTCATGCTTCTAATACAACAGCATCCCACCCCACAGTGTAAAATTAGGCCCATTTGATCTGGACTTTGGCCTAGAACACTTCCTCTTTAAGAAATTCCCTTTACTGTGTCACACTCAGGATACATCCCCTTAAAGCAAAGTATACAAGATGCAGCACACTGCTATCCTCTGATGACAATTTGTCTTTCTAAAGGTGCCTCCTTCAGCCAGGTGTCAATTTGATAGAAGGCAGCATGACTGAATTCATGGGTTGATTGGAACTAAACTGCGCATTTAAGTTTCCTCAAAGAAGGTTTTGCTGTGATGCCTCAGACATTAAAGCTGATTTTCTTACAATGTGATTTTGATCTTTTTGCTTACTGCAAAAACTGCTTGCCTGGCTTTAAGCTTTCCCTCATTTGAAGGAGCAATTAAATTAACTTTAGTTCTTTCAAATTCTGAGTAGTTTTGATAGAGTTCATAGGAATAAAGTATTTTGTCCTATAGCTCAGTGGTTAGAGCACTCGCCTCGCAAGCGAGAGACCTGGGTTCGATTCTCAGCAGGGGGAAATGTTGGCCAAGTTTCCTTACTCCACATGTCTCTGTTTACCTAGCGGTAAGTAGGAACCCAGTTGTTAGTTGATTGGCGGACCGCTTTTCCTGGGGTAATAATTCCTTCCAAAAAAATAAATTGGTCAGTTCAATCCACGACTGTTTGTGGGACACTGCTGTGCCCAATTGGCTGCCGCGTTTCACCCACAAAGTATACAGTCAATTCACTTTACAGTTTATTCTGTGAAGCACTTTTGAGACATCTCAAGGCACTATATCAAAATGCAGCGATTATTATTTTTTCCATTGGTTGGTGGCTCAGTTACTAGATTACCTCAATTTAACATACAGTAAACTCTTGATTACTTAACCCTGGCTTAACTTGTCACTACCACTTAAGTCATCATGCTCCGAACCTCTCAGCCGCATTTATTTATGTATGTATACATATGACTAACTCGTCACTCTGACCTCCTCTCTCCTCAAAACAGTATCCGTTGCCTTCGTTCCTCCGGGTCTGGCCTCCTCCTCATCCCCCGAGTCCTCCGCTCTACCCTCAGCGGCCGTGTCTTCAGCCACTATGCCCTGAGGCTCTGGAACTGCCTTCCTCACTCCCTTTGTCTCGTTCCCTCCCTTCCCATTTTCAGGTCTCTGCTGAAGACCTTTCTTTGGTCACCTTCTCCCCCTCCCCCTGACTCGGTCCCGGGATCCGTTACTGTAAAGCGCTCTTGAGACGCCGTCTGGCGTGGAGGGCGCTATATAAATCCAAGTTGTTGTCGTTGTTGTCACTAAGCTCATTTCCCTTGGAGTGACGAGTTATCAGAAGTTTATTGTAGTCAGCAAGGGAGCAAAGGGGGCTATTTGGAATATTTTTTACTAACCGAGTTGTCATGACAATTAGAATTTTCAGTCATTTCAATCATTATTCCTGATACTTAGGCCAAAGTAAAAATACTATGATTGTCGAAATGTCAAATAGCTCTTTATTTGTTTCATGCCTATTTTATGCATGACTTGGATCTGGAACAAAAGGAATCTAGCATCAGCATCAGATTTGATATGGGTTAGACAGATGCAGGACGCAGTTCTTTTTACTGCACCCTAACATTGGTGTTGTAAATGCAGTACAGTGGAAACTTGTGAATTAAGTCAGCAAACAGACTGAGGAATTTTGACTACAATAGCGAGTTAACCTCACAAGTAAGTTATAATTTACAGAAACTATACAACTAGTCACGAGTTACTAGTTGTATAGTTTCAGTATCCAAAACAACAAACTACTGTACATACAGTATTGCCATCAGCTCCTGTGCATTAGTGTTTAAAGAAGCTATCCCAAAACAATACAATTTATATTTCTACTATGATTTTCACATAGGAGACTATCACAAAGCACTTTACAGTACTTTACAATGTATGTGCACCTGTTTTGGCACATTTGATTACCTCATAATTCCACCAAAGATATGCCTAGTGTTCTCCATTTCGGGGAGCTTAATCATTTTGCTACCACCAAAACCCATTAATTAGGTCCAGTTAAAGGTTTTTACACTTGACACTACATTATTTTGGCCTGAAATATCCCTTTTAATTTTAGGAGCAAATTTTTTACACTGTAATAATGCATTTTTAATATAACCCCTTCTCACATCATCAGAATGTGTGAAAACACTTTACAGGATTTTACTGTAAATTGTAGGATATGTCTTGTTGCTAAATATTCCCAAGTCTACCAACATTATGATGATATTTTTAGTCCAAAGAAGAATAATTTTAGTCTTTGTACTTCATTTCCAGATTTCGTTCATATCTGTGGGTTGTCCGCCAAGAAAACACATAAAAGTACAAAGGTAAATCCTTGTCTTTATTGTCTTTATTTCAAACTAGCTGTACCCGTTGTAGCTACGCTTGCAACCAAGGGATCCAATATGGAATGTAGATTTCAGTGATAGAACTCACAAACCATTTAACATGCCATAAACACTGTGTGTACATCTCATAGCTCATGAATGATAGAAGATGCTATCAAAGGGTCATAGCTCATGAATGATAGAAGATCCTCAGAGCTCGCTAACCGAAGAGGTTTACTGTGGGATCAGGCAGGTCCTTGAGTTATTGCAAGGCTTCCGTGTACACAACATTTGCAGTTTTTCCTCCTTCCATGATGTGCAGGTTTTGAGGTGAACCCACACGTGAGCATCCAACATAGAACTGACCATGGGAAAAGCAGGGTGTATTCAAGAAAAGGCCAGCAACCTGTAAGCTTTACCCCGTGCCTTGTTAATTGACATAGCAAAGCACATTCGAACAGGGAATTGGAGTCTTTTGACTTGAGAGCTGGGGATGCGAGGAATGGATACATCTTCCTCTTTGAACTGACTAGTCAGAATAGTTGCTTCTATAACATGTGGCACCAACTTTACCACCAACCTAGTGCCATTGCATAGCTTCGGTGCATGTAGATTCCTGAGCAGCTTGACTATGCATCCAATCTTTAGTATGAGTTTGTGAGGAGGCATATCGACCGGATGGTTTTTAAAAACTCAGTTCGGTAGTTGACATGATTTTTAATGTCAGGAACAGTATCTATGGACTTGTACACAGTTTTTTGGCCAGGGATGTCTTTGAGTAACTGGGAATTGATCTGTTAGCTGTTTCTTCAGAGTCAAAGTGCATGTGATTTCTTTTTACAAGCCTGGAATTTGTACTAAAAACAAAGCCTAAAAGACAATGGTAATTACAAAGTTTGAGGATCTTCTAAAAACTTACCATAGAGTTCACAATATGGAAAAAGGCGTGTATATCCAAGTTTCTGTACAGACTCCTGCAAAGTGCACTGTATTCCTGACCCAAACAACACGTGCGCAAATCAAAAAGTGGAGTGGAAGTGGAGGAAATGAAAACCGTACACACTCATATACATACAGTGACTGGCTAGATCAGAGCTACTGAATATCCCATACCCCTATTGTGAGCCATGGATGTTCGGGCAGTCTTGGTTAATTTTTCAAACTGTATTAGTCAAATATAACAAGAGAATTGATAAATGTAATGCTGTAGACATTATGAGGGTTTCGATAGATTCAATTGGGAAACAATATTTCCATTGGTCGGTAAATCAGTAATTAGAGGGCATCAGTATAACAGTTAGCAAAATGGGGAGATTAGGAGAATTTTTTTCACACTGAGTAGTTATGATATGGCAGCAGTGGTTGAAGCAGAATCGATATTAGCTTTCAAAGGGATAAGTAAGTACCTAGATAAGTACCTAAAAAAGAGTAAACAACAGGGGTATGGGGTTAGGTCAATTAAATGGGGCTGAAAGGAATGCTCTTAAAAGAGCCAGCATGAACACGATGGGCCTAGTGACCTCCTTCTGTGCTGTAAATTTCTGTGGGTGTATTGCCTGTTAAGTATTCAGTTAGATCTTAGGTGACACTTAAGCCTTTGACTAATTGATTTGTTTATCAAAAGATAATTAATAGTTGGAATGAGTTACCAGGATGGATGGTAAATGCTAGGATGCTGCACTGATTTAAGAAATGGCTGGAATGGAAGGCCAATAAAAGTAGTTATTTTAGAAGAATGAAATCAAAGGCTTCCTTGTGTCTTTCAATCTTGTGATGTGTTATTTTTTCTCATAATTTACTTTTATCTTACTTTTACCCTACATTTATCATACTTTTATTAACTATTGAATTTCTTTAAGAGATCACCCTGTAAAATGTACTTTCCACGACAAACAATCTTACATTATATCACGGTAAGAAATAAACATTGAGTTTTCTTACTTTGTTACACCTATTTAGTGTTATATGACTTCTCAAGGTTTCATAAATGATACTGTTTTAAATCTGCAATTGATGATCCAGCACTGTAAGTATACATCTCAACATAACAGATTGTAAGTGATTGTAAGTGATTGTATTCAAAGTTATCCAATTCTATCATCCATATCCATGAAATGTTGCATATTTACCATAATTTTGTTTTAAGAAATTACAGAAGAATAACTATTTTAAAGTACTGTTACATGCAGTGTCTGAAATCTGTTTATGAAGTAGAGGTGTTTAAAATTATGAAAGGATTTGCTAAGGTAGATCTTAATAGGCTGTTTACGCTTGTTTGTGAGTCTAAAACGAGAGGCATAAATATAAGATAGCTAATAGCAGTTACAAAAGGGAGTTAGGAGCAACTTCTTTATATGTACGGAGGTGAGAATGTGGAACTGTGATAGAAGAAAAAAAACCTATATATTTTGGAAAAGCTTCGATGCATACACGAGGGAGAAGCGAATAGAGGGAATATAAGAAGATGGAAAAGGCGGGGTGGAGGCTCATGAGGAGGATAAACCTGCAGTTGGGTTTAGTTGGGCCATATGATCTATTTTACATTTAGTGTCATTCTATGTATTTCTGTCAATTAAAAATGACTGAATTTCCCTCAGAGTGCAAAAACACAAGCAGCTTATAGACCTATGCTAACGATTCTTTTGGGATTTAAATTGCGGTGATTTGTAACAAGAGCCATGGTTAATGACTGAATTGCAAATTGTGGCTCCATTTTATAATCACATCATGTTGACCTGCCTTCCCAATGGTAACCTTTTAAAGAGGGTTCATTCTCTTCCTGATCCTAAAATTATCTTTTTCCTTCATAATACAAGGGCACTAAGGTTGAATGAATCATCAATTGAGTCAGAACGGGTATCAAAATAGGGAATTATCATTTAGGTAGTGCATTTGTCTGTGACGCTAGTGATGTCATGACCACGGAACCTGCAAACTTGTTTGAATGGAGTTTCAAAGTTACCCTATTCTTGCAGCCTTTTGTGATGTTTAAATAATATTGTATAGTTGTATATACAGGAAAATGAGGAGGTCTTCCCCTTTAAATGTGGTCTGCAAGATTCCAAGTTGCAGAAACTGCTTGCAGCACAGATTTAGCAAGCAGTCACACTCCTATATAAAGCAATGCTTGGTGCTCCTCTTGGTGGCGAACTAATGGCTGTAATCCGCCTAGGGTTGCTAGGTTTTAATCAAGAGTTGCACCTTGGAAGGGACTTGTAACAAACAAGTGGGTCAGCTCGCTCCTCTGCTCAAACTGTAAGTGCCAGTAAACTGTAAAGGTAAAATATATGCTTGTGTTCATTAAATATTTTAAAAGATTTCGAGAAGTGTGTATTTTAAATTTGTTAATATAAACGGGATACTGGATTTGTCCTCCTGACTCAAGACTCTAATCACTGAAGCATTGGGTATAAAATACCAAGCTCCATGACATGCCCACTGAGCCATTGGGCACTCTCTAATCTTATGATGAAGTGTTGACCTCAATGAATGCTTTTAAAAGTCTCCCCTGGTTTAAGTTTTAAAACATTAATGTACACAATACCAATCGTTCTTTCTTTAGGCATCATGTAACAAACAGCCTGATTGATATTGTGAGTACTCCAAACTATGATTTTTTTTTGTTACATTATTGATATACATAGTTGAATATTAAAATTGAAAGTGCAAATTTGTTTTTTTTAATCTAGCTTGCATATTATGACAAGCCGAGATATGGTTGCCCGATGCAGATTCACCACAAGAAGAGCTACAAGCCAACAATATTATTGTAAGTATTCAATACAATGAAAAATAATGGTGAGAAGTTAAATGAGAATTTATTTTAGTAAGTTAGTCCCAAATTGGAAAATATGAGGGTGTAATCTTAGAATCATTCGATGTAAGACTTAGCAAAATTTCCAGTACTGAAACGACTGCAACAATCTTACAAATACAGTCCTGTGTTTACGAATTCAAATTATTCTCCGGAACCATTCAGAATAATTAATGCCATTGGTGGTAAATAAAGACTTTGTGTAAACATATGGCTCAGGAATTAAATATGGATCACGAGAGGTTCGGATGAATTTTGGCCCATTTGAGTTCATCCTACCACAATATCCATCCACTATATTTCCAGCTATATCAAATGCAAGGATTATTATTATTTTTAAACTAAACTTTATTAAATGAGTCTAGTTTCCTGGCCTCAAATACTCTTCCTTGTAATGTATTAGCCGAATCAGGCCTCAGCCGGCTTGGGACTTCAGCATGTCCCTCAAACCTTCCACTCATCATCAGCAGCTGTGCGTTCAGCTGCTGTGCCTTGACTCACTGGAACTCCTTGCCTCAATCCTTCTGCCTTGCATGTCATCAGGTCATACCTGAACACTTTCCTTTTTAACCATGCCATGGTTATCTCCCCCTTTTCCCTGGCTTGGTGTCAAACTATACCATTGTTAAGTGCTCCGAGACGTCACCTCGCCTAAATATGCAAGTTGTTGTATTTCAACCGTTAATTTTGGATAAAAAACTAGTACCTGGTATCTGTCCTGAACTTGTCCTTTGCAAGTTGTAACTTGTCCTTCGCCCACAAATATACAGTCAATTCACTTTACAGCATATTCTGTGAAGTGCTTTGACACGTCCAGTCAATCCTTTGTGTAGGTAGCCTGCAAATGTGAAACTCTCAGACAAATAGAGAGAGTGTGGGAGCGAGACAGAGAGCAGGGAGACTTGTCTGTCCTTATTTTAGGGGCTTCCAAATAGCAGACTGCAGTCTGATTCCGAAATGTTTTATCCATAATTTACAGAATCTATGCAGATAACTTGTTAAAACAACATTGATTCACCTCTCGGGATATTTGCAAACAAATCTTTAGATTTTGCAATTGTTCACCCAATTGTGCTATGAGCATTTAAAGTAGCACTTCTTGTACAGAGGCAGATCATGATTGGTTAGTGAACAGTCGAGGTTGCTCCCGGTACTGGCTCACAATGCCTATTAATTTACAAGCTTTTGTATAATTTGGAATCATTTATTTCTAAAGCATTTAAGGAAAGCCACATGTAACTAACTTGTGTTACCTGTATGTAATATTTCCATACATTCTGTTTTCTTTTTCAAATTCTACTTAATAAATAATCAGAATTGCTCCCCCTAATCAGGCCAGTTTACATGTCTTCACAATCAGATAAAACAAAGTAAGGCTCAAGTATGAAGGTTTTAATTGTAACTCAGGAGAAATTATATGTAGTTTTTAACCACATACAGATGGAACAGAATAGTGCAGGTAAGATGAGGAACACACTTGATCATAACTGGAAGTTTTCGTTATTGACATTTGTGTTAATAAAGTTTGAAGATACAAAGTAAATGTTGTATGTGTTTACATATTTCTGATTGGGATTTGAAACCAAATAATAAATGCATTGATTTCAATGTATTTTTTCTGTTTTTGTGGTTATAGGTATATTGGTGAAAAACTTATTGAAAAAGTAAATGTCCAGTATGTTATTTGGGAGAAATATAACAGAAATGACTTCTCATTTAATGACAGCATTAAGAAGGTGAAATTTCAACTGACATTATTTATCTTTTGCATTACTTGATAAATAACATAAAAATATGAAGGTAAAGTATAATTATTTTTAATAGAGAAAGCACTCTGTAATAAAGGTGTAATTCTTACCACTGACACTGATAACAGTGATACATTTTATGTACAGAAATTTATATTTCCACATGATGCAAAGAAAATATCAGAACTAACTTTTATTCTATGTCCAGATAACGTACAGCAAATGCAATTAATTGCTGTTCCTTTTACTGCTATTAGCTTTGATTAGGACTCTTGCATTTAGATGAGGTTGTGAGTTCAAACCCTGTATCGGTACTTGATATGTATATTTGTATATTGTATATTTGATTCCCTATCCATTGTATTTCTAATTTCAATTACGCCATTATGAAAATTTTCACCAAACCCTTCTCGGCTAAGGTGCAGATAATTCCTGTCAAGTGCCGTGACTGCTTATGTAGTCAAATAGACCTTTTGCTTCATCAAGGCTCCACAAATAGCCATGAGATGCTTGACCAATTAATTTGGATGTGTGACCTCATGAACATCATTAAAACAAGTCTCCTTTGGACTCATTTGTGGGATTACTACATCATCAAAAACGGCTGCTTGCTGGTATATTGGTGACTTTGATGGCTCGTATTCATGGTCCCATATAAAGGCTTTTCACTTATACACCCCTCCTCCAAAAATGTACCCTCACTTCATCCAAACTCTGTATCTACCAGCCCAACTCTAATTTGCCCTTCTATCCAAAGTCTTTGAATGTATTCTTGATACTCAATTTTGCTCTTGCCTTTACGTCGATTCATTGCTTGAGCAACTCCAATCTGGTTTCCAACAAAGTAGTTTTTCTGTGTGACCAGGGCTCCCTTTTTGACCTCTCTGCTGCTTTTGACACTTTTGCCCACTCCATCCTCCTTGATCATCCCTCCTCCCTCATCCAATGCACTCCTCACCGGTCTCCCACATACTGACCCAGACCAAATTCTATACCCACATTTCACCAGTTGTGGCCAGGTTCCACTGGCTGCCCATCACTGAGCACTGTAAGTCTATATATGAAGGGAAGTGTAAATATTGCATTTGGAAAATTTCTATCAACCAAAATAATTTAGTTATTACTAAAAGCAATTCTCACTCTTGGCCATTAGCATGCACTAATGTTGAACTGATGAAAGAAGAACCTGCGCAATGAAGTATGCATACATTTAATCATTAACCACTTGATTTGTTTAGGTTGTTTGCAACTCTAAAACAGAGTCTATTTTAGTCAAGGATCGGCCACACAAAATGAACAATTGGAAAGAGGTACTAAATGGATTATTCATTGAATGTAGCTAATTTCAAGATGGGAGAGTTGCAAAGAAAATTTGGTCTGTATGCCCTATTAAGTAAGAGTAATATTGTATTTGTTCCTTGTTAAAAGATTTACATTGTACAAAAACAGACAATTACTAATTGTAACAAAAGTAGAAACCTCTGAGGTTTCTCTGTGTCTGGAATAGATTGTGCATTCTCTCCCTGCCTAATAGCAGAGAGTATTGGGTGCAGTTTAGCAAGAGCCAAGGCTTGAGGACCCTGGAGTGTATGTTGGGATACTGCTGGAGTTTAACCAGCTAAACCTGCATTGAGAGAACTATCTGACAAACTTGTCAAGCTAGGACTACCTTACCCAATAGGACTTTGGCTTGCAGTATTAAGGGGAGCGGATTGAGAAGAATCCCTGCTCCCAGTGGCTGGTCTGGCCTTCCTAAGTCCTCCCGATGAGCCAGAAGGCTGATCTGTCATCTGCAATGTCCTAGAGTACTGCAGGCCATCCTCAACAACAACAAGATTTCATTTATAGAGCGCCTTTCACGTCGGGAGGATGTCCCAAGGCGCTGGACAGTTAGGTCAGGACCCGAGCAGGGGGGGAATGGTCAGGGTGAGGGGAGGGAAGGAAGGGAGCGAGGAGGGGTTAGAGAGTCGAGAGGGGAGCTGAAGGCATGGTTGAAGAGAAAGGTCTTGAGACCGGCCTTGAAGGAGGAAAGGGAGGAAGCGGCGAAGGCACTGGGGGATGGAGTTCCAGAGCCTAGGGGCTGAGAGCCTGAAGGCCCGGCCACCGATGGTAGGGCGGTTAGGGCGGGGGATGTGGAGCAGACCGGAGCCAGAGGAATGGAGGGTACGGGCAGGTAAGTAGGGGGATAGTAGGTCGAAGAGGTAGGAGGGAGCAAGGCCGTGAATGGCCTTGTAGGAGAGGATGAGAATGTTGAATTTGATCCTCTGGGGGATGGGGAGCCAGTGGAGGCGAGCGAGGGTGGCAGTGATGTGGTCGCGAAGCCTCGTGCGGGACAGTACATGAGCTGCAGAGTTCTGAATGACCTGCAACTTGTGGAGGTGCTCAGAAACTGAACTAGCGAGACTGCCACAGAGTATTGGTTCGATTCTGACAGTTGTCGTCTAAGCACATTACTGTGGAGCCAAAGAAGATCCTGGTTAACTCCCCCTCCCCCCCCAGAGAATAGTCCCTAGTTGATCATTTGACATCCAACAAGTATAGGTTTGAACTCTCAATTGGTGAATAGCAGGTACCAGGAATTCCCTGGGTTTACTGGTGAGCACTGCAGCATGAGAGCATTGCCACTATCCTGCTCACAGATCGTACAGACATCCCTACATGTGTGAAGCTTGAGCAACAGCTATGTACTTCTCTGCATACCGAACAAGCTGGATACCAAGCCTTGGATATTACACAGTAATAGAAATAAACCTGGGTGTAAATCCAAAACAAATTTGGATGCATTTTTTGTGCTTTAAATATGGCATTATTTAATTTAAGGGCAAACCCATTTAGACAATTCCAACAATACATTTTGGGTACTGTCCTCCACTGCATCTGTATGTATTTTTGCGTAACATTGCCTGCCCCCTCCACTCCCTCTGCCTCTGGACTGCCCAAGACCCTGATTTACACTTTTACTATATCCAGGCTTGACTATGTCAATATCCTTCTCACCGTATTCCCCAATACTAACTTACACAAGTTGCAGACTATCCAGAAATCTGCAGTTCGTGTCGTCTCCCGCACCAGGTTCCATCAGCCTACCATCCCCATTGTCGCTTGGCTTCGCTGGTACCCAATTCCTCAGTGGATTCAATTCAGGATCCCTGTTCTTTCCTTTAAATCCTTCCATGATCTTGCCCTAGCTCTGCGATCTCCTACAACCCTACAGACCTAGCCGCTCCCTTTGTTCAGCAAACAATGGTCTGCTTCATGACCCCCATCCTCCAAAAAATAGTGTGGGTGGATTAAGTTACAATCAGGTATGTTTTCTGTAGGCTCTGAAATGAACAGGCTTGAACCGTTAAATAGTGTTTTTTCTCATTTCTTGCTCTCCTATGCTTTTATTTTCAATAAAGAGTATTATTAATCCCTGCACTGAGTTTGATTACCCGAACACAAGCTATATGACTTTGAATTCATCAAGTGACAGGTTCCTGACCTGGCCAACAGATCATAATGCACTCTTCCTGTTTCACGTGAAAATTGTGGACCCCAATTTCAGGTAGTTTGACTCAGGTTGTTTTTATTAGAAAACACAAATGTTTGTAAATTGAGTATTTGATTTAACGCCTATAATGGGTACTGCAGCAGCCAATTTGCATCAAAATTCTTCAAAACAGCCATGAAGTGAATGATCAATTTGCCTAGGGGATTGTTAGCCGGGATACAGGGAGAATATACCTTTTCGAATCTTGCCATGGGATCTTTAACAACTGCCTCCATAGGAGGCAGATCAGTTTAACATCTCATTTTAAGGAATAACCTCTGATATGAATATATATATATAGACCATCCTCAATTTTAAAGAGATGAAAAGAAATTAAATAATTTAATGACAAAAAATTTATGTTCAAGATTGTTTTAGAAACATTTTTGAAACAATAATGTACTCAAATGTTTTACACCTTTCCATGTGCGGTTTCTGTATATAAAACATTTTTGCCTTTGAATTTATCTTCAGGATGTTGAACGGGAAAATGACCTGAAAGGGGCTATATAAATATCATTTGTTTAATTGTATAATACAGAAAAAGGTCCTGCAAAAAAATCTGTTTTTATTTTTAAACAGATAAAAAGGAATCAAACAATTAAGGAATGACAGTAATGAAGGAATGTCAAAAAAATCTTTTTTCCAAAGATTTATACACGCCATTGTGTTTTTATGTATTTTCCCAGTACCACTACTGTGGTAAACTCAAAAGTTACAAAATAGAGCTTGAATCTACACCCTACAACCAGCAGGAAGAGTGCTACTAAATGAGCCAAGCTGACGGCTTGTATATCTAGCTACCTTCATGATACCCCTTGATTGTTTTGATCATCAGAGGGGTTTCCGTGCCCATTATGAAATCCAGGACAAAGCAGTCACATGGAGTCCTGTAGCTCAGTGGTTAGAGCACTCGCTTTGCATGCGAGAGACCTGAGTTCAATTCCAGGCAGAGGGCGAAACCTTGGGCAAGTTTCCTTACTCCACACAGAGCCTAATAATAATCCCTCCAAAACCAAATAATAAATAATAAATTGGTCATTTTCAATCTACGACTGTTTGTGGGACATTGCTGTGCGCAATTGGCTGCCGCGTTCGCCCACAAATATACAGTCAATTCACTTTACAGTGTGTTCTGTGAAGCGCTTTGGGATGTCCTCCCGAAGTGAAAAGCGCTATATCAAATGCAAGGATTATTATTATTATTTGTGGTAAAAAGAGAAAATGCTTGCAGGGAGCGAAGGCTCCAATCGACATTGACGTGTAATGCAGCACACTGCAGGTGAAGTCGGCTCACAGCAGATATGTCTCTTTGCAAGGCTCTCTCACATGAGGACCTAGATTAACTAGTTGTTGATGAATAAGTCTGGTAAGTGGCATTGGCCTTGGACTTCTTCTCGTAATATCAAGGTGCCTCCTCATCACAAGCTGTATACGTTCTTCCCCATGCTGAAAGCACATGTTGGTTGAATAGGGGGATCTCTGAGGTTTGGGATGATAACTGCTGGAATGCATTAACTGGAATCAGCTCATATATCTGGAGTTTAATGTCTGTCTTATTTGATATACTGAGGGAGGCAGCTGCAGCTGAAGCTCTGTACTTCTAATTAGTGGAACCATCGCTAGATGGACTTCCTGGTGGACAAAACAAGAGGAAAGCAACTTATAGAACACTGCCACATTACAAAATTACAAAATTACTCCACATGGTATCAAATGTAAAGATTATTTTATGGTTGGAAGGAGAAGAATTGTAGGGAGTGGAATTTCTGAAGTGGATAGCAAATTTAGCTGAATCATTCAAAATAAGTAGTAAATAATCCTTACATCAACTTGCACTTACATAGCAGCCTCCACCCAGAGTTGCGTCTCAGAGTGCGACACAAGAAATATTGTAAAGTGCAAATTTGTGTTTCGTGGGCAAACAAAATGATTAGTTGTACATAGAACCTAATTGGAATGGAAGCAGTTGACTTGTTGGAACCCGTAGCGAACAATGCAGGAGCTGTACAAAATACAAAATACTGCAGATGCTGGAATCTGAAATAAAAACAGAGAGAGCTGGGAAAACTCAGCAGGTCAGGCAGCATCTATGGAGATAGGAAAGTGAGTCAACGTTTCGGGTCCACGACCCTTCATCAGAATGGTTCTGATTCGGGTCCACGACCCTTCATCAGAATGGTTCTGATGAAGGGTCGTGGACCCGAAACGTTGACTCACTTTTCTCCATAGATGCTGCCTGACCTGCTGAGTTTTCTCAGCTCTCTGTTTTTGTTAATGCAGGAGCTGTTGCTGTTTATACTGTAAATAAATGATTTTGAAGTAGACACATTTACAAATTGGGCATTTTCAACCAAGAGGGTGACCTCTTGGAAGGAATATTTACAATGGTGTTTAGGGTAGTGACATAGGATGGGTTGTCAATTAATTTTGTGTGATTTTGCTAACACCATTTTGTTCTCTCTAGTTTCTGTAACTTGACAGCCACATTTGCCATAGAAACATATGGAGTGATTATCAGGTACATTTTCTGTAGCAAACAGTATAACCCTGAAATTCCTGAATTCCTTTTAAATTGATCACAATTATGTGAGTTATCATCATAAAGTGCACAATTTGCTGCTTTGCAAGAAATGCTTTTACTGTATCAAAGTTTTTCTCTATAACAGGATTGCAAGGGACAGTACACTAAACTGTTGGGTATAATTTATGTACTATATATGTTTATCCAGCAGAAGACAGACATAGAATGAGCATAAACCCTTCGAGTTTGATCTTTGATTTTTAAAAAAAATTCTGTTGTTTGTAAGATCCACTTTTTAATTAATTTCTGTTTTACACTTTGCTTTCGTTGGACCCTGTTAGTATAGTTGGTGCATGTTTTATTATATTAGAATTGATAAATGTGTGCATGAAAGTTTGACTAATACATTCAACTTTACAGTTTTTTTTAATTAGGAGTGCAAAATTGCACTACTGGAATTGGAATTCACAATTATAGAAGAATTAGTTTTGTTACAAATGAACAGTAACAAAGCTCTTCAGCAGGATAAAGAATCATTCAAATTACATTACAGAAACACATTTAGCAATACTGTGGTTAGCCTCAGAAATATATTTATCATCTGCAATTATATATAAAACTTAATAGTAAGTGGGGTATCTTTGGAGCTGAATTGGTCTTAGGAGTCTGATTCCTGAATCGGGCAGATCCTCAGGACTCTCAGGCACTGATGACATCCCAGCCAGCCTGGCTTATCAGCAGGACTTGGAGAGGCAGATCATTACTGGGGCAGGGAATCTTCTCACTCAGCTTAGCGGGAAGAGAGTGCAGACATGGAAATCTCCCCGTGTGGTGTCATACAAGGAATTCTCACTCCGGTTTGGTTACTCTTAAGAATGGTGATAGGTTTTTTGCATGCGTCAGAGAGCCAGCTGACCAAATATATATATATATAATTTAATGCCTTTTATTCATTAGAGGTTCTGTCTCATTGCAGAGATGACATCATTTTGGTTATTTCTCTGGTGTGGACCTTCATATTGATTCTACTCTGCATCTTTGGCTACAGTTACTATAAGTATATTAAAATCTTCAGAGGCATGCTTTCCAAGCCTGCAAGCAATGAACTCTATGTTGGATTTTAAGCAGACCAAAACTTCAGAGCCAAACTAACATGATGGATGCCAACAATCTCTTTATTAGCATTAAGAATACTTAAGTATGTAATTGCTGACTAGCCAACATGTGTAGTTAAATACAGTATTTGAAAGAAATGTTGTTTGTTATTAGTTCTTAATAAATTTGTTTGTTCCTGTTTACTTTTGTTGTGAAATTTGATATAAAATAAACACTGTTTGTTGTGCCATGCCATGTTTCCTGATTGATGTATTTTTTGTGGGGTAAATAATAATAATCCTTGTATTTGATATAGTGCCTTATCAGGTGTTCGAGACTTCTCAAAGTGCTTCACAGAATATACTGTAACGTGAATTAACTATATTTTGTGGGTGAAAAGCGGCAGCCAATTGCGCACAGAAATGTCTCACAAACAATTTTGGATTGAAGTGACTTTTTGAAGGAATTACTACCCCTGGAAAAACGATCCGCCAATCGACTAACCATCGGATTCCTACTAATTGCTAGGTAAACAGAGGCATGCGGAGTAAGGAAATTTGACCAACATTTCGCTCTGCCGGGAATCGCATCCAGGTCTCTCGCTTGCGAGGCGAGTGTTCTAACCACTGAGCTACAGGACTCCAAAATATCAAAACCTTACACCACTAAGTTCTAAAACAAAGTACCAGGTTTACTGTGAAAAAAGATGACCCTGATGTTGTCTATCTTTGGAAATTCATAGAATTACATGGAACGTTACAGCATGGAAACAGGCTATTTTGCCTCACTAGTTCATGTTGGTGTCCTAATCCTATATCCCTCTATTCCTTTCTACCTCAGGTATCTTTTTTGATTAACAATCTCCACATTTCCAGTTAAGGATAAATATTTCTGCCAGAGAAAAATCACAGATTCATGCCCATTTGAGATGTTCTGATAGTATCACATTGTGATGTCAGGATAGGATATTATGCAATTTTTTTTAAGGCCTGCACCTCATTGAAAAATCAGCAGTTTCTTTCTCCCGTGTTCCTAAAAAGATGTAACTTCCTCAACCGAGGTTTCAAAATTCAGATACTATGCAGTTTTCAACATCCAAAGAGTAAATTCCACGAGAATTGGAAAAGGGTACAATACCAAAAACAACTTGCATTTATATAGCGCCCTTCATGTGGCTACTGTCTCAGAGCGCTCAACAGTAGATTTTACTCATGATATTGCAGTGTTACCGTATTTTGGTTTAGACTTTAAACCGTGACCCTGTCTTCTGTTAAGGCAGATGTTTAAGATCCTGTGGCACTATTCAAAAAGAGAAGGGAGGTTTCATCCAGTGACCTGGCCAACAACCGCTCAAGTAAAGAATTGTTCATGTCTGTTTGTGGGTCATTGTTGTGCACAAATTGGCTGCTGCGTTCGCTTACTAACACACAGTCATTACACGTTAATGCTCTGGGGTGCTACCCTGGAAGAGGGGCGCAATAAAAATGCAATTTGTTGTTGTCACAGAAACTGTGAAACTGGTATGCATTGGAGGGTCAGCCCAGACTATTGAATTCAACTTTCTGCTGAGAATACTAGCAACTGAGCTATGCTGACACCTGCAGGGTGATAGGGAAAAGGCAGGGACTGCAGATTGCTTTCTCAAACAACAACAAAATTAAATTTATAGAGCGCCTTTCATGTCGGGAGGACGTCCCAAAGCCCTGGACAGTCAGGTGTTAGGGCCCGAGCATGAGGGAGGGGTGGTTTAGGGGTGAGGGAAGGCACAATTGAAAAGAAGGGTCTTGAGACCGGCCTTGAAGGAGGCAAGGGAGGAAGCGAGGCGAAGGGACTGTGGGATGGAGTTCCAGAGTATGGGGGCAGAGAGGCTGAAAGCCCGGCCACTGATGGTAAGGAGACCGGAGCCCGCTGAACTGAGGGAGCAGGCAGGTTGGTAGGGAGTCAGCACGTCAGAGACGTAGGAGGAGACAAGGCCATGGATGAGGACGAGGATCTTAAACTCGATCCTCTGGGGGATAGGGAGCCAGTGGAGTCGGGCGAGAGTGGGAGTGATGGGGTGATGGAGCCTGGTGCATGAGAGTACACGAGCTGCAGAGTTTTGGATGATCTGCCGCTTGTGAAGGGAAGAGTTGGGAAGGTCGATGAGGAGGGAGTTTCCGTAATTGAGCCTTGATGTGACAAATGCGTAGATGAGGGTTTCGGCAGCCTAAAAGGTGAGGCAATGGCGGAGTCTGTCAATGTTGTGGAGGTGGTGGTAGGCAGTACCTGTCATGGCGTGGATGTGGGGGAGAAAGGACAGTTCAGGGTCGAACAAGACACCAAGGTTCCTGACTAGCTTAGTGAGGTTGAGTGTGCAGAAAATGGTGACACCCAAGACACTGAGGCCCCAGGTGATCACCAGGTCGAATGGGTGACCGTGGGTGTGGGTAGCAGAATGGATGTGGAGGGAGAGGTTGAGAGAGGAGAAGTCTGAGGAGATGGAGCAGGAGGGGGTGAAGTGGAGGTTGAAGTCGCCTTGAAGGAGCATGTAGATCAGAAAGAGGAGGGGGCCAAGGATGGATCCTTGGGGTACCTCGCAAGTGACCGGGTGAGAGCGGGAGGAGAAGCCGTTTGTGCAGACGTACTGCTGGCGGTTTGTGAGGTAGGACTCGCACCAGGCGAGTGCGGTCCCACTGAGGTGGATGACGGAGGAAAGGCGGTGGAGGAGGATGGCGTGATCGACTGTGTCGAACGCGGCGGAGAGGTCCAGGAGGACAAGGAGGCAGAGGGAGCCCTGGTCACAGATAGAGAGGATGTCTTTGTGATTTTCACAAGCGCAGTCTCTGTACTGTGGGTGGAAACCGGACTGGAGGGGTTTGAAGAGGGAGTGGGAGGAGAGGTGTGTGAGGAGTTGATTGGCAACAACGCATTCTCGGACTTTTGCGAAGAAGGACAGGTTAGAAATAGGGCGGTAGTGGCCGGGATTTGAGGGATCCAGGGAGGGTTTTTTCAGGAGGGGGCTGATGACAGCAGTTTTGAGGGAGGCAGGAACTGATCTGGAGGAGAGGGATTGGTTGATGACGTCAGCCAGTAGTGGGCAGAGGAGGGGGAGCTGTGTGACCAGGAAGTTGGTGAGGAGGCGGTCGAGGCAGCAGGTGGTGGGTTGCATGGAGGTGATGGTGGGTGAGAGGGAGGAAGGAGAGATGGGGAGGAAGGAATGTAGGATGGGGGTGGTGGTAGGAGCAGATGATGGGGAGGATGAGGGGGACAGAGAGGGTGTAGTGGTGGCTGACAAGAGGCAGGTGGGTGAGGCTGCCTGGCGGATGTTGTGTATTTCAGAAGAAAAGAAGTCCATGACCTCCTCGCACTTGGCATTTGATACGAAGATTGAGGAGGCCTGAGGGGGGGCACAGAGGAGGCAGTGGGTGGTGGAATAAAGGATGTTTGGGTTGTGTTTAGCCTCCAAGATGATGTTGGAGTCGAAGGCCGCTTTGGCACGAGTCAAAGGCACCAAGGCTTGGCGACCCCAGATCCTGCGTTGCGGGTACTGCTGGACTCTAAGCAGCTCAAACCACATAGCCGTCCTGTCCTGGCTGGTGAGCTTCCTCACTGCTTGTCCACATGGGACCATCCCATCCCATCAATCTACGACTGTTTGTAGGACATTGCTGTGTGCAATTGGCTGCCGCGTTCGCCCACAAATATACAGTCAAATCACTTTACAGTGTGTTCTGTGAAGCGCTTTGGGACGTCCTCCCGACGTGAAAAGCGCTATATCAAATGCAAGGATTATTATTATTATTATTATTATTATTATCGAGATGCGGTGTATCAATCAGTGTTCTGGGGGCGACACCGCCGCGCATGCGTATTGAGGCGGCGGTGACGGGTGACCGGATGGAGGCGCCTGCGCATTGCGCCTGCGCAGCTCGATGCGGCTGGAAGCAGACAAGATGGAGGCGCTGAGCGGCCCCGTACAGCATCGCTTCTCGCCCTACGCCTTCAATGGAGGGTGAGTGGTCGCCCAACTCAGCCTCGGACACTCGGTGAAGCTGTACCGGGGGGCGGGGTGTGGCCGGGCCGGGCCCCGGGTCGGGGACGAGCTGCGGGCAGGACTTTCACTTTCGCTCTCGGCTCCGGCCGACATGACGCGGCGGTTTGTGTGAGCGGCGGCGGCCTCGGCCCCGGGACAGCGCGGCCTCGGCCCCCGGCTCCCGGCCCCGGGACAGCGCGGCCTCGGCCCCCGGCTCCCGGCCCCGGGACAGCGCGGCCTCGGCCCCGGGACAGCGCGGCCTCGGCCCCCGGCTCCCGGCCCCGGGACAGCGCGGCCTCGGCCCCCGGCCCCGGGACAGCGCGGCCTCGGCCCCCGGGCCCCGGGACAGCGCGGCCTCGGCCCCCGGCTCCCGGCCCCGGGACAGCGCGGCCTCGGCCCCCGGCTCCCGGCCCCGGGACAGCGCGGCCTCGGCCCCCGGGCCCCGGGACAGCGCGGCCTCGGCCCCCGGGCCCCGGGACAGCGCGGCCTCGGCCCCGGGACAGCGCGGCCTCGGCCCCCGGGCCCCGGACAGCGCGGCCTCGGCCCCCGGGCCCCGGCCCCGGGACAGCGCGGCCTCGGCCCCCGGGCCCCGGCCCCGGGACAGCGCGGCCTCGGCCCCCCGGCCCCGGGACACCGCGGCCTCGGCCCCCGGCCCCGGGACAGCGCGGCCTCGGCCCCGGCCCCGGGACAGCTCGGCCCCGGGCCCCGGGACAGCGCGGCCTCGGCCCCCGGGTCCGGGACAGCGCGGCCTCGGCCCCCGGGTCCGGGACAGCGCGGCCTCGGCTCCCGGCCCCGGGACAGCGCGGCCTCGGCCCCGGCCCCGGGACAGCTCGGCCCCGGGCCCCGGGACAGCGCGGCCTCGGCCCCCGGCCCCGGGACAGCTCGGCCCCGGGCCCCGGGACAGCGCGGCCTCGGCCCCCGGGTCCGGGACAGCGCGGCCTCGGCCCCCGGGTCCGGGACAGCGCGGCCTCGGCCCCGGGCCCCGGGACAGCGCGGCCCCGGGCCCCGGCCCCGGGACAGCGCGGCCTCGGCCCCCGGGCCCCGGGACAGCGCGGCCTCGGCTCCCTCTCAAAGCCGAGAGGCGCTTCCCGCCCCAACCCGCCCGCCGACAGGCCTCGCCTATTGTAAGGGTTGTTAGCGGGAATCTCCCCCCTCCCCCTTTATAACGTTCAGTCTGCAGTGTGAGATGCAGCGGCGGGAGGGGGGGGGGGGAGGGGGAGACCGGGGAGGGGAGACCGAGGGGGGGGTGAGGGTCACTGGTTGATCCTCCACTGACATCATGGGTATCACTTACTGAGACCGGCGGAGACGCTCATCGCTTTGATCCAAAGATAATCCATGGTTTTCCGTGTTTTGTTTCCAAATTCCCGACCCCTGTGACCGCACTGGCAGTCACTGCTACACTTTTGCAGCAAAATCCTGTGAAACCTTTTTTTTTCCCCGACGTCTGTGATGTATTAAAGCTACGGATCAAATGCAACGGTCAGGATTGCTACATTTATCAGTTTAAGGACGCTGGTGATCGAACGGCTACGAATGTGTGGGATGCACAATTTTGGGCTTTATATCCAGAGGGATAGAATATAAAAGTGAGGAGGTGTTGTTGAATGTAAAAAAAAACACACACACACACTTGGTTAGACCACATTTGGTGTTTGTCCAATTCTGGTCTCCGCACTATAGTGAAGATATACCAGGGCTGGCAGGTTACTGCTATCAGGGTAGAGTGCAAGGTTAGGCCTTTCGTGCCTAGAGAAGAGAAGGGTAAGGAGGGACTTAACAGAGGTTTATAAATGGTTCAATAAGGTTAATGTAAGTAGGCTGCTTCCACTGGTTGCGGATTCCAAAACCAGGAGACACAGATATAAGATAGTGACTGGGGATCAAAAAGAATTTAGGAGGAACTACTTCACGCAGAGGGCAGTGAGACTGTGGAACTCGCTGCCAGAAGTGGTGATTGAATCAGACAGTGTAGATACATTCAAGAGGAACCTAAACCTTCATATGAGGGAAAAGGGAATAGACGTGAATGGGAGGGAGTAAAGGAATGGGCAGAGACTTGTGTTGAGTATAAACATTGGTTATGGACAGGTTATGCCGAGAGGCCTCTTTCCATGTTGTACATTCTATGTTTGTTAGTGTTCTTGGGTTATGGAGGGGAAAATCAATCATTCCAGGTAGTTATCCATGGATCCCTGTTGGAAGATCCATGTGTGCAGGTGGTGGGTGAGGGCAGGAACAGCATCTCGCATTGCGCCATGTGCCTTCTGGGAAATGGGGTCCGGCTGCAGGCGAGCGCGACTGAATACTTTAAGTGGGGTTTCTGATCAATGTCGCAAGGTGTTCGCTGATCATTTGATGATGTTAATTGTTCAAAACGCTTTATCTTAAAAATTGTGTTCATAAAAAAATGAAAGGTAATGTACTCTTTATTTTCCTCCCCTGAGGACAAATTGATCGCAGGGGTATCACCTCTGTTTTCACAGAGGTTTAATTTTAATGAGAATCCTTAATAAGGATGTGCCACCATACCATGTGCCACCTGAACAAATAACTAGATAAACTATTAAAAATAGCTACATTATTAAACTCGTTTTTAGTTTACACAGTAAATTTGGAAGACTACTAAATAAAATAAGTTGCTTTTTTTAAAGTATTATTTGCGGTCTTATTTGGTTGAATATTTAACCTTGAAATTGTGTTTTCCTTTACTCAAGAACTGTGCTGGCCTTGGCTGGGGACGACTTTTGCATTGTTGCTTCAGATACACGACTGAGTGAAGGCTACTCCATTCACAGCCGGGATTCACCTAAATGTTATAAACTGTAAGTTTAGAAAGTGTAGTATCATACATGTAAGTAATATTTGAAGATATTGGAAGAAATGTACCTGGTTGTATAAAATAATAGTAGAATCTTGTAACAGCGTGGATTCCCTTTAAGTATTGGGATGTGGACCATGATATTTACTTACCAAAAAAATCCAGTATATGCACAGAAAATTGTAATGATTATTTAGAAAGATGGCTGGTTTGCTTCAGAATCCTGACTGGCATTTCATGTGCAAAAAAAATGACCCGATTGTGGTCATTAGATTACATGCATAGATTACATGTGTGCAGGAAGTGGTGACTGGTAGCCTGAGGACCAAGGAACTTAGTCATTTTGTAGCATGGGAATACCACGCTGGTGTTTTGAAGCTGGCTGTTTGTGTGCATGCTTGGCAGATGCAGAAGTGGTAAATCAACTGTGCCCTGTTATAGTGCTTAATGTTACTGTGCTTAGAAGCTAGATAGTTTATTAACCCAGATGACAATTCAGCTACATGACAGTAATACAGTCCCATCAGGTCAGTAAGTTACTGAAGCTTGTCCGTGTCGCATGGTCAGATCTCTTGTAAATCATTTAATTAATTATTTTGCTTTGAATCTGAGTATTTTAATGTCTTGTTTGAGGCTAAACATTAATGGATTACAGTACATACTGATAATTTTGCCCACAAAAATACAGTAAATTCACTTTACAGTATATTCTGTGAAGCGCTTTGAAACATCTCGAAGATGTGATAAGGCGCTATATCAAATGCAAGGGTTATTATTGATGGATTCCTCTGATATGATTTCAGGTAACTAAAATTTACTCAATATTGTACTTTTAGAACAAACGAAACAGTGCTTGGATGTAGTGGTTTCCACGGAGACTGCCTTACACTCACAAAAATCATTGATGCAAGGCTAAAGGTAATATCGATAATATTTAAATGTACTTAACTAGACTTGAATTACGATTGGCTGTAACTCAGGGTATACAGTAATTGATGGTTATGTAATAAGATTGAAGATCTGTGTTCCTTTTTCTTAACTATTTGTTTGTTGACGCTGATGCAGTTTTGTTTTGGCGTTGTAAAGTTGTGCAAGATTTATATTTAGATCTGTTTTGGTGTTTCTGGTATATTATAGATGTATAAACATTCGAACAACAAGACAATGACAAGTGGGGCAATAGCAGCGATGCTCTCTACAATTTTGTACTCTCGTCGTTTTTTCCCCTACTATGTGTACAACATTATTGGTGGACTAGATGAACATGGTGAGTAAAAATATTTAAATGGTGATTGTATCGTACTGGTTTTTCTTTTGCAAATACTCAACACTAAATTAAGGACTGCACATTGGTGTACCAATGAATTCATGCATAGTTCAAGTATTTCAGGGTACTCGAACAAAACTGTGGGTCAAAGATGGAAGTTTTAAGTTTAATTTGTATGATTTTAAGGTTATTTTCATAGAATTAGGTAGAACATTACAGTATGGAAAGAGACCATTCGTTTCAACTAGTCTGTGTTGGTGTTCATCCTCCTCATTAGCCTCCATCCTTCTTTATACTCCTCAATTCTCTCTTCCCTCATGTATGCATCAAATTCCCTCATAAATATAGGAACAAGCAGCAGGTCAGGCAGCATCTATGGAGAGGAAAATGAGTTAACGTTTCAGGTGTGTGATCTTTCGTCAGAAAGGTCAAATATCTGAGTTCTGACAAAAGCTCATCGACCTGAAACGTTAACTAATTTTCTTCTTTCCATAGATGCTGCCTGACCTGCTGTGTATTCCTAGTGACCTCTTTTTATTTCAGATTTCCAGCATCTGCAGTATTTTGCTTTTTCTTTTTTCCTCATAGATATGTTGGTCACAAAAACATTACTAGCCTGTCTGCTCTCTCCACTCAGTGGGCACTAGCCTGCTCCACCTCCCTGCCCTGCTCGCTGCAACCATTGACAGTCTGGCCTTCAGCCTTTCTGCCCCCAACCTCTGGAACTCCATCCTGGAGTCCTTCTGCCTCGCCCCCCCCCCCACCCTCCTTTGCCTCCTTCAAGGCCTGCTCAAGATCTTCCTTGTTGACCACCAGCTCGGGTGAGGATCCCTGATTGTCCAGTACCTTGGGACGACGTCCTCCTGATGTGAAATGTGCTAAGTAAATGTAATTTTTTGTTGTTGTTGGCTGACTGAAAAGAAAAGAGTAAGTGGTTAAATATTTACAGTATTATCATTATTAAAAACCCACGACTATGCGTGGGACACTTGTGTGTAATTAGCTGCCATGTTTCTCCCTCAGGTTACACAAGTCAATTCACTTTGCTTGTGAAGCGCTTTGAGACACCTCAACGATGTAATAAGGCGCTATATCAAATGCAAGAATTATTCTTATTCCTTCTGTATGTACATTATGTAAAAAGTGGATTAGCAGATGCTTAGAAGAATGAATGAATAAATACCTAATTAATGGTTGATCACTTTCAAATGCAGGGAAGGGTGCGGTATACAGTTTTGACCCTGTTGGATCCTATCAGAGAGATACTTACAAAGCTGGAGGCTCAGCAAGTGCAATGCTGCAGCCACTTCTAGATAACCAGGTACTGCACTTTACTGGTGATTCCCAAAATGAAGAAGTGATGGATTGAGCATTGGTATTGATGTTCTTTGTTTTGACAACTTGATAGAATAGAGGGAGAAGAGCATCCTAAGCTTAACCCACTTTATTTGACCTGTGTTTGCAAAGAGTAAAGTGAGGGGTAACTTTTAATGACGTTAATACTTCGTACATTTATTTAAACCCAATGTGCATTTTTAATTTGAAATTTTCAGTTTCAGCTATTCTGAAGCCCAAGTAATGGGTTAACCTTAGGCTATTTGAATTACAAATAAAACATGCATTTTATAGCTTTCAGCAGAGTCAAATTAACAGTATAAGTTGCATAGGTTCACAATTGAATATGTTTTGTAACATTTAAGGAGCATTTATTTTATCACATTTAATCTTATTTCTGCTAATAAAACAATAATACATATTAGATGGCTTCTGATAATTCACAACTAGAAGTTGCAAGTGTGCATTAAATCACATTTTCAAGTGTTGCAACTAGAATCCATTTATTAATTTACTTTGCTTTACTTGCTAAATATTCCTTTATTAAATAGGTTTATTTGTATTCTCTGGAAAATGGAAAACCGTCTTTAGAAACCTGAACTTGTGGCACTATTTCAATAATTGTTATTTAATAATGTGAGCTTCAAAATTTGTCATTTTAGTGCTATTAATTTGCTTGACAAAACTGTCAGCTGCATACTTCGATTGTTTGGAGGAAACATTAATGTTTTGTGTTGTTACCAGATTGGATACAAGAACATGCAGAATGTGAAACGTGAAGAACTCTCACTGGAAGAGGCAACCCAGCTAATAAAAGATGTTTTCATCTCTGCAGCTGAGAGAGACATTTACACTGGTGATTCTCTGAAGATCTGCACCATAACAAAAGATGGCACCAGAGAGGATGTGTTCCCTCTTCGCAAAGATTAAATCATGTTGAAATATTTGCGAACTGTGGCAGTCCAATTGTTAATGTGGAATAGTCGGTTATAATGATGCTTGCGAGTGTACCAGGCCAGCATTTCCTTTTCTACCATTTGATGTACAATACTGAAAAATAAAATCTCACATAAGTAAGCTTGTTTCCTCTTTATATTTCTAGGAAAATACTTAAAACAGCCCTGTGATTCCAGGCATTTCGTTTCGTGTAAAGTTTTGAAAAAATATTCTTGAATATTTTTATGTATTACACATTTTTACATTTGACTTGAGACTTGGGTAAGTTGCGATGTTCGTCTTTAGCCTGATGATTGTGCAGCAGGAAGTTTGGGTAACTGCAGTCTAGGTCGTGTTTCAACATTCATTGTGTCTGTGAGTAGAGGTCAAACAAACATTGGCCTCCCTATATTTGAGTATTGGTCACCAGAGCGCTTTGTCATTGAAGACTAGGTCTGATGGCTACCACCCAGTTCTGATATTGTTTTGCAGATTTAGAATTCCTGTTCTCAACTTCTTCACTGCACGCTTGTGCCTTTTGTGACCTAACCTTTTGCTGGAGGTTACTGGAACTTTTCACTTATTGTCATAGCTGCCTTGTTTCTTGACAACAACAACAAAATTGCATTTGAATAGTGCCTTTCACGTCTGGAGCACTATAAAAGGATTGTCCTTTCCAAGGAAGAAGTGTAGTCAAAGATATAATTACATGCTAATTTTACTGAGGTTATTTCATTCACAGTGGCTTCCTATAAATATAGATGTTATTTTCGAGTCAGATTTGTAAAAAAACTAGGCTATAAATCAAATTTGTAGATCCTGTAATGCAGGAATATATGTGGATTTATCAATTGATCACAGCAATGTTTTAATGTATTTTGGTATGATTTCATTCAAAAAAAGTTGTACTTTTATTAAATATGTTGTAGAATGATTGACAACTATTTTTCTGATTTCCCTCTATGTTGACTGCCTATATATAATATATATTATATATAATTTATATATATATAATTTATATATAGATAATTTATATATATACTGGCTTCTGTGTTTTCACCCACAAAATACACAGTGACTCCACTTAATATTCCCTTGCGGTGCAAAAATGTAGGCAAGTTTCCTTAATCCACACTCCTCAGTTTACCCAGCAGTAAGTAGAAACTCAGTCGATTGGTGGATTGCTTTCTGGGGGTAACGATCCCTTAAAAATATTTGATAATAGTAATTGTGTCACTGATTCCATGACTGTTGGTGGGATAATTCTGTGCACAATTTGCTGCCACGTTTCGCCCACAAAATCCACAGTCAATTCACTTTACAGTACATTCTGTGAAGCATTGAGATGTCTCAATGACGTGATAAGGTGCTATATCAAATGCAAGGGCTGTATTATTTGCAATTCCACTGATTTAGCTCCACTATCCATATGATTAAGCTAATCCCAAACTCTCCATACTACCCACCATACCACCCCCACCACATATGCTGTAGCACCAAATTTTCAAGACTATTTTACCAAATTGTTATCTCTTCCCGTCTCCTTTGGTCAATGTCTGATCCTGGTGTAAAACGATCCGATAAGTAATCTTATGTGAAGAGGACTATTATAAATGCAAGTTGTTGACTGTACAGTATTGAGCATTCAAATGTCATTTTTATTTTTACCTTTCCACTGAAGTTCAAAAGAGGATGATGCCATTTGAATATGTTTCTAACCTTTCAAGGGATTTACATCCAGCCATCACTTTGGAATAACAATAAAGTGGTCTGTAAATATTGACCAAGTTGTATTTTCTTGGAGATGATGGTACAACTCCCAAGAGTCTAAAACTGGTCTTTGCTTTGAAACCTGTCTAGCTGCCTTTGACCTGGATTCTTACCATCCTGGGAATGTCAGATATGCTATGTAGTGAAAGGTTCTCGGTTCAGATCCCAGGAGGTCCACTCAGTCCTTCAATCCTTTGAAGTTGATAAGATGAGCATCGTGTATAGAAATATCCTTGGGTGGAGAATGCAAGTGAAGTTTCCCAGAAGCTGAACTAGCTCTACAAAGACACTAAGACAGATTCACAGTCCTCCAAGGCCAGATGATCATCCATTTTAATCAGTTTTCTCCTTCGGGCCAAAACAAATGTTTTCCCCTCAACATCTTGGAGCCTTATAAAGTTTATTTGTGCAAGATTGAAATACCACTGATTTATGATCCTTCCTTTGGCCTTTAAAGTCTGTACTGAAAGGCCCTATACAAACTTAATTTTGTTGTTGTACTATTGTAACATTTAGCCTCTCAGTTTTTCCTGATCACGAGAGGCTCAGATAAGATGGTCATTCACTCCTTTTTATTGTCATTGCTTGCTCCTTGACCAACTAGAGATTACCCTTAGGCAAGGGAGTGGGACATGGAATTGGAGCAGTTGTGGGTGGATGAGGTGTCTGGGGGGATGGGGGGAACAGAAGGCAGGCTTGTGAGCTCCTTTGACTGAACTGGCTCCAAGATTACGTGAATAGTATTGGAATATTAAAGCAGAGCTGATCCTCTTTGACACTCCTGATAGTCTGCATGATGAGTTGTGGTGATCTGCAATACTCCAAGGCACTGTTGATTTCAGGCCAGGCAGCTTAAATTGGGAGCGGGACTTGGAGGGGTAGATTAGATACTGGGAGCTGGGATTCTTAACAATCAGCTTCTGTTTACCCTGCAAACCCAAACCTTAATGGGTAGGGTGGTCCTAGCTGGACAAGTAGCGGAAGGCTTGCCAAACAGCAATATCAATGACAAGCTACGTGGTTTTAGCTGCTTAGACTCCAGCAGGACCCCAACACACACTCTGCAGTTCCCAAGTCTTGGCTGTTGACAACCTGCGCCTAATATTCTAGAATTAGGTATGTGTCCATCTGTGGGGGGGCGAGGAGGTGGGGAGAGAGTGTGCATTGCACTCCAGACACAGAGACAGTTACATACATAATTGACAAATTGCATTCATATTTGGAACTCTCAAGTCTGGTTTGGATACTCTTAAACAAGGTGATGGATTTTCTTACGTGTCAAATACCCAGCCGCCCAAACATCGATGTTCTGCACTCGACTCAAAACTACACCCAAATGATCAAGATCTATTAGGTACTCGTTCAACCATTATTTTTGAAAGTCATGTGTCTTTCTCTCAAAGACATTAAAAACTAAATGTCTTTTGGCGCTGGTTGCGACTTATGAGATCACCACTCGATTGCATTCTACTTTCAGAGCAGAGTTCCCATGTGTCAGTGTAATGCCCGTCTGCTAACTCAAATTAGGAATTTCTAATGGCATTCCTTATTGTTGCACTGTCCTGGCTATCCTAAATTACAAGGCAGTTGTACTGATTATGTAAGATGTTATCTTCTGACAGAAAGAAAGATAGGACTTTTCACAACTGTTCTTTTGGATTTTGAATGATACAGTAATACTCTGCAGGAAAGAAAGGTAACAGATGGTATTGGATGTTGGTGATCCCTCCCTGGGACAATTTTGAGAACATACAGATATGAGTTTTAGGGGCTGATATTCCACCTGGATCTGGACTTAAGACTTTTTTCTTTTAGATCATGCAACCTTTGGACAATTCTTCCAATTTTTAACGGTAATCTTGAAGCCAAGTTTCCGCAGGTCTTGAAAAAACCTCTCCCAGTGTCCTATCCTGGCCATCAATTCATTTGCTTCATGGCTGTTTGTGGGACATTGCTGCGTGCAAATTGGCTGCCATGTTTGCCCACAAAACACCTCGTCAGTCCATTTTACAATATTGTGAAAACCATTATACGAAAGGTAAGGATGATGTTAATATAAACGGGAGAAATACCACTCAGTTTAAGAATAGTCCAAAATTTCCACAATCTGAGATGGCAAAGCAAACAAAAAAAATCTAAAAATGCAGACCCAGGTGGAATTCACTCCATTTGTAAGTCTTTAATATATGTTTCGCCTCCCAAAATATACAGTCAGTCACTTTATGGTATATTCTATGAAGTGCTTTGAGACGTCTCAATGATGAGGTAAGGTGCTATATCAAATGCAAGGATTATTATTATATTTTAGCAATTTGGCTTCAGTGTTGGTGCAGATGTTAACAACGGTGGCAGAGGTGCCAAAGCACAAAACTGGCACTCTATCCATGATGTAAATGATGCTTTATCTTCCAAGATCTGGCTCAGGCACTGCTGTTTTCCATTTGGCAGGAATGTCTGTACACAAGAAATATCGCAGACCAGCCTCCGGTGCTTTGGATACAGTGTAATCAGTGGGATCAAACTGTACTGAAGTGTTTTGGGGCTCTTCTCCCATCAGAATGAACCCTTTCATGAACATTGTTTTGATTATAACAGCTGCTCTGTTACTGTGCCAGCGGCTGAGCACAGCATAGTAGTGCTTTTTCATAAAAAATAGATCTCCGCTCTCCACACCTGGCACAGGGTTCATCTCCCCCATTTCAATATCTCCTCCTCTTCCATTTTAGCCAAGGATTAAATACCCCTACCCCCCCCCCCCCCCCCCCACACACACACAAAGCAAAGTTGAACATATTTCTTCCACTGGATATTGAACATTTTATGGATCACATTCGTGTTGACTGTGTTTCACAAATGCCATAGGAATGGACTGGACTGGTGCATTGCCCAAGTGATCTCAATGTGTGCCATACTTATCATCCACCAGATGGAGCACTCACACCAGAAACGAGGCAGCTGCACATTACAATAGGATTGGCAAAGTCCTTTTGCAATTTATTGAAAGATTTAATCTTTGAGCGTCTCTACTTAGAAAATCACATGAACATCAGTACTAAAATATCTGACAAATGCGTGCTTGCACTTGGTCAATTTAGCAGTGTTACAAAATATTCCAGTTCAGTGCCGGCTGGAAGCTTGGACTGAGAAGAGCAGAAGAAATGCTTATAGCGACTTCAACACAAAAAACACCTGTGCAACATGTAGTGCATTGAAAGTTGGCATCCACATAGTGTATTGAATACCGTGAAGCCATGCTATAACACACTTCACTGAGAACCCTGCTTCGTGCACTGAAACACAGTTAGTCTGCTTGCTTCAACAACAACTTGCGTTTCGCCCTCAAAAATACAGTCAATTCACTTTACAGTATA